ATGCCAAGGCCAGGCTCAGGAGAGAAGGCCACCGCTATGAGCTCTTTCAATGGGTTCAAGCGCATCTGCGTGAGGTACTGCGCGGATTTGTCCACGGGCACTCTGCCATCAATGCGAAGCTCCTTGGAGGGTAACAAGGTTTGCCAAAGAGGCGAGCCGTCCTCCAGCGCCCGCCCACCAGACTGGCGAGCATTGAGTGATACGTCTTGAGCCATCGCTGAATCCAGTGGCATGCTCAGCTGCGATTGATACTTCAGTACGACGTCAGACTGATAGCATTGGGTTGTCACGCTTACCGTGCCTGTCCATACTTTCGGAAGGGCTTCGAAAGCAGCACGCAGTCCCTCCGGACTGTTATCCACTGGTGGAGGAGCAGGTGGTTCCTCTTCGTCCTTGCCTAGGAACATGTCGAAGTCCTGATCGTCGGCCGTCTCGCCCAGAGGGTGGGGCTCAACGGTGGGCTCCGACTCTCCATCCTGCATCGGCACATCCTGAAGCTCAGTCGATTGCTCCTGCCCAGGGGAATCGCCTTTAGGAACCCATAACGCATTGAGATCAAACGACGGGCGCGACGTTAAATCAGGCTTCGCCGCGAACGGAGACATCCCTGTGGATGGTGTCGGACCTGCAGCACCGGGAGGTGACAGACTTTGTGCGCCAGGGGAGTGCGCTTGGAACGGTGGCGGGGTATCCTCACCGAAAGGCGTCGGTGTGGGTGCAGTAGCGGAAACATCGTTCGGAACGTCCTCGTCAATATTGATGAGGTCGGCAAGGTTCAGCTCGCCCTCTACAGGAGTCTGGTAGTCCGACGCAGACGGTACGAACAGTGGATTCGCAGGAGGCCTGCCCATGCCAGGCACCCCCACATTGACATCTGTGTGCGAAGCATGCAAAGGAACAGGAGGTGGGCCACCCCAAGTAGGAGTCTGTGGGACAACGGGAGACTCAGGCGGAACAGACCCCTGACCCTGCGTGCTCGCAGATCGCGCACGCTCAGCCTGGAGCCGCAAACGAGCCTGTCTTTCGCGCGCGATCCTGTCTTCCTCCTCCTGGTCCTCACGCGCACGCTCAACATCACGCGTAGCACCGTTGACATCCTCGATATTCTCAATACCCTTGTGCGTGATCTTCGCACGGGGAAGCGCCTGTTTCTTGAGGATAGAATGAGCCAGCGCTTCCTCTTCAGCATGCCTGATGGACTGCTTTGTCTCTTCGTCAGCCAGCTCGGTAGAAGTCATTGTCGACAGTTCATTTGGCGCGAGGCTCGATGAAGCTATGCGCTTATGAAGTAGCACACGATCAGGTTTGCTTAGATTAAATGTTAGCATCCTGAAACGCTCCCTGCACAGGTCATGTCAGTACGACCACAACTGCTTGTTGACAAACGACTCACTTATACTTGCTTCCCACGAAATGCTTCCCGTTCTTGTCAGTATCGGAATACAAGTTGAAGATACACTGCTCGAGGTCTGCAGCGAAATGTTTCGCAGTCATCTCCAGCTTCTCTTTCTCCTCATCGGTGAGATCTTCCTGCTTGGTGGGCTCTAGGTTACCCGAGGTGGCCTTCTTCCCGTCCAGGAAAGGGTGACGGAAGAAAATAGGACAGAATATCTCCTCGAGCTTGGTCAAGCAATACTTCCGCGCAGGATCGTCGCCCGAGGCTGACTTCGCACGCTTCGCGGGAGGCGCAGTGGCACTTGATTGCTTACGCTTGGCCAGGGAACTCGTACCAGGAGATGCAGATTTGCGCACACCGCCCTCGTGCGTCACAGTGCTTGTACGACGCAATCGCTTCGGTGCTTTCTGTTTGGTGGGCGACCCATCGGAATCAGTGTCCGAGTTGGACGAGATCGATACCCTGCGTGTCCGACGCTGGAAAGCACAGGTGAGGATTGTTGGTGGCGAGGAGGTAACGATAGACACGCACCTTGACCGTCACTCTCGACTTCGACTCCTCCGCAACATACTCATCCCCGCTTCCATCATCCGACTCTGGAGAGTTCATATCGCTATCTCGCCCACTCTCCGGGCCGTCTTGCCTGGCCATCGGTGTTGCTTTCTGTCTTGTCCCGTCGCTGCTCTCTTCCAAGCCGTCCACACCTTCCCAGTCCACTGCGAGAACCAACTATCAGTCACCGCCCGTGCACACATAACACCAAACACAACGAATGAGAAACATGTGGTACGACCCTCCTAATATGCTCTGCAGGCAGTGCCCGTTAAGACAACGACCCCCGGTTGCTCAAGGAGCTTCCTTAGGCATTGCCTCACGACGGCAATCATGCAGTCGCCCCAGACGAGTGACACCGTACGACCTGCCTGACATCGAGAGGCCGACTTTGACTAGGCCACACACTTGCTCGTGCAGGGTACGCACGCGAACGCCACAACGGACACTACCTACGCGCAACTAACTTGACGGTCTCTCAAGAGTGCGGGCACGGAGCACATGAGGGCAAAGTTACATGATGCGTAAACGAAGTACATGGACAGGCAAGAGAAACGAGAACCAGAATGCAGGCAACGCGCCCGTGTATTGAGCCGAAATACTCACTGATTGTCCGCAAGCCTGTACGTTCGTGGCACGAGGGGCATATGTACGTTTCTGCTTGTGACACACGTTAGTCCTCGACGCTTGAACACAGGAAAAGCGACAACTTACGGACATCCTCCGCATCCCTCTCGGGAAGACTCACACAACGAAAATGGTACCTAGAACGGCCCAGGAGTCAATCCACTGTCCATCGCGCGCACCTGCAGGTGCGTTCAAGGGCGACACGTACCATTCTCTGCACTCTTCGCATCTGATCATGGGCGATCCGTCATCCGGCTTCCGACACAGACAATGCACTTTGGACGCCTTACTCGTCGTCCGCGGTCTCTTGCTCTTCGGTTTGGCCATGGCTACCTTCGCGTTTTCTTTATTGTCGACATCTTCCAGCTTAGACATTGTGCCTTAGGGAATTGCGGCGTACGTAGAGTCTCCAGGTCAGCTTGAGGTCGTCGTTGGGAGGAGAGCACAGGAAAATGATTCACGTCGCCACAACCTCGGGAGTTCCCACGGTTCGCGTGACATCTTCTGCAACGCCGGGCGCCAAAAAGCTGTCGGGCCACTGAGTTTCACAGCTACTGGCGTTTTTCAGAAACATTCGTTGCCGGTGCGTTCAAGAAAGCTTTTCTACCATAACCTCGCTGCAGACCCGATTTAGGCAACCAAGAACTGCTTGCAATGAGAGGTGTGTGCTTCTTTGAGCTGGACACGGTATTCATGAATTATCGCAGGCATCAGGACCCAGACTTCGGAGCAGCGAAGTCTTCACTGCAACTTGTACTCATTTTATGGAGTTAGGATGAGCGTCATGACAGATTCCTTGACTTCATATCAATGTGAGGTATCGAAGATTGCCACGAAGGGTCTTATCGTGTGAGTGGTACTTGACGTCTACACATGAGGCCTCGATGTTAATCTACTATGGCTCAAGGGGTCAGCACGCTTCAGTCTAACGCTTTGCTCACGTTGTCACCGAGCTGCCACCGGCATAGCTGAGACCTGAGAGTTGCGGGCTTGCCGTTCGTCCGACTCGGGATCGCAGATGCATCCTGGTATTTACACGACCGGTCTCGATCAGATCATCACTGGTGTGCCATATGCAGCGGTGGTGTCGGGGACGCACGGGTCTCAAGACCCACCGTCCAGACGTGGTCATTTGTCTCCTCTCTGGCTTCCATGAGATGGTCCAATGATTTCTGATATGGTGGCCGGCCGCCGATTGATCGTGGACGCAGGAGGTGTGAACAATAATGTGGCTCGTGTTGAGGACTCGGGTGTGACTCTGGCAGGTTACTGACGGGGACGCAAGGCGGATTGTACATCGTAGTGGCCCTACGGTCAACCGGAATCATCTTCGAGCGAACACGGTGAGTACGGAGATCCCTGGCGATTCGTTCCGGCTATTTGAAGAACGCGCAATTTCAGAGTCACTCACCTGGCTGCAATCGAGACCCTTATCCAGGCATATGTTCCCTTCCTTACCCCGTGTCGCCGGCAAAGCTTGTTCTTGTGCCACAAAGGTGAGTTGATCTTCAGACGGGTCGGCAGCCCCGACGGAATCCGCCCCGCGGTCCCACTGCGGTATAAGGAGACCGTGAGTTGGCTTTCACAAGAGCTCATGGGAGGGCCCCTCCAGCACAGAGGTGTCCCTTGTTGGATGTAATACGGTGATGTATGTATGTGGCCATGATATTGCGAGGAGAGTTATAGCTGTGATGGACTGCCTCGAGGAGCACCAAGGACCGTCTTATTGCCGGCAGAGGGTCGGCAGCCTGTATATCACCGTTTCGAGGCACAGCATTTATGATTTGTCTGACATGTCCTGCTATTCCGTCATGACCTCCGTCATAGCCTGTCCGCACCAAGAAGAGTACATTCAGACGTCCGAGCGGGGCCCCCTATCAGCGAGTGGCTCGACCGTCGACCTGGCATCGCACCTGGTTCCGACTCTTGCAATCGCTGAACTCGCTGTCGAGAACTTCACGAGAACAGACCGTATACGCATTCGCGTATGTGCGGAACGAAAGAGAGTTGGTCTAGCCATTCAGAATCGAGATACACGACTGTCGGTGATAAGCAAGCCAAAGCTTACTAGGAGAAATAACCCGCGATGTATTGATAGCGTATTGATAGCTTAGTAGCGCCAATATGATTGAATATCGGCCGGTGGCTATCGGCAAAATGGGCGCCCAGGGCCAAAGTGCCGGCTTCCAGCACGAGGTCGTTGTAGCGACCTCTTCGCCAACGACCACCAGGATATTCGCTCGTTTCTTTCCTACGTTCCGCTCCTCGTCCATAGCTCCTCGTCCATACCGTCCGTTCGCGGCGCTATCCTGTCGTTGAACGAGGAGTCTAACACGCTCTACCCCGACGCGGTTGCACTAACCGCTCGCCGGCACTCGTGAACGCGCACCGTCTTCCGCCACCAGCGGCACCACAAAGCCTCTACGTTCCATCGCCTGTCATTGATGGGAAACACGGAAACGATTGTCCCCGAGGGATCACATTGGCACTGACAGTGGTTGCAATTGTACGTGTTCTCCATAGTCGCGTTGCACTACCTCCCGCTCGCCATTCCTGGTGAGTACCTTACGGCCTTATGTCCTCCATTGCGGTTCTTACTATCTTTCCTAGTCTCGAGGCTCATTTCTACATCCACTGCGCCCCTATACTGTACGATTTCACATGGCGGCAGCCGTATTAACTTCTTCCAAGCTGTCCATCTCGAACCCTTTCCAGATGGCTTCCCACAAGCGCCCCGACCCGGCATCGCCCCCTCTGCCTGCGGCCGCCTCCTCGTCGAAGGTGCACTTGTCGTCGCAGCCCTCCTCGTCAGCTGGACACCATGACGCGCCGCCCAAGACATTCAAGCGCCTGCGTTCCTCATTGGAGCAGAGCATCCGGACGGCGACGCGGTCCAAGGCGAAGATGAGCGCTCCGGTGGACGAGAACGGCACCATCGCCCCGAGCGAAGACCGGGACAATGGCAAAGGTAAGGAGCGTGCGTCCGAGGAGCACCTGTCCGACGAGAAGAGCAAGTCCAGATCGAGGATGCTATCTAAGGTTTCATTTCGGAGACCAGCCGCGAGAGAATCGCAACCCCCTGCGCCCCCACCACCTGTCCCCGGCGCAGGGCAGGGAGCCGCACGAGCAGAGAGAGACCGGGACAAGGACAAAGCGCGCGTGGCCGGCAATGTCAGCTTCCTCGCACCTTCTCTTCGACAAGCATCCATGTCCTCGCCAACGTTGCCTATACCCTCTGCGTATACCCAGCCATTTGCGCTCCCCAGCGGCTCGACATCCAACGTCGCAGCGCTGGTATCGCCTCCACGTGAACGTGCTCGTAGATCCGAGTCTGGTGGCCTCAGCACAAGAAACATCAGTGGACCCCAACCGCTCGCGTCTCGCCGCGATCCGCGGGCTAGTGGCGGTGCGGGATCGCCGCGAGAGGGCAGGAGACCTCCACCGCTGTCGCTGTCTTCACGCGGCAGCAATTCGCCCGGGCCAGAAACACCAACGCGACGATCCCGAGACGCGACGAGATCGCCAGAGCCCTCGTCACCGACACCCCGGGGGCTCGCTGCCAGTTCGTCGCGAAGAGCAGCGGCTAGTGCTAGCCATCTGCCGCTGAACAGCACCCCCAGTCCGCCCGTATCGCCTACCCTACGACCGCTTAGTCCTTCCCGTGCACGGTCGACATCGCGCACGCCCACTCGGACTGGTCCATCGGCATCCTCGTCTCACCTCCCCCTAGCTTCGTCTTCATCCTCTACGTCAGCGCGAAGACCATCAGTGGATACCGCGCGCCCCTCACTGGAAGCGCGAAGGCCTTCTGTGGACACCCCGCGACCGTCATTCGAAGCGCGGAGACCGTCCGTAGACGCTCGCCGGCCATCCGTCGAGGCACGCAAGACCTCACTCGATCTGAATAGGTCGTCGCTGGAAGGCAGGAGACCCTCGCTGGACCGTGCCGGGTCACCTGTCACGCCCACCCGACCCCGCGCTCTCTCGCCGACTCAGCGCAACATCACGCCGAACTACTACCAGAACAGGCTGCTCAACGCGTCAACGACTTCGCTCGGGGGATCCTCAAACCCTGAGCATCGGGAGCAGATCCGGGCCGCGTCGTCATATCTCTGCAAGGAAATGTTGAAGCCGCCATCCAGGCTGAACGACTCGAGCCTGCAACCGCGGGAGTGGGAGGAGGTGGAGATGCGCATGCGGAGTTTGGCCAGATTAGAGAGGGTTTGGGGGAAGAGCGGGGGCGGGATGGGTAGTTCTTCCCAGTTGAGTTCGGCAGGCGGTTTGAGCTCGAGCGGGCTCAGTGCTAGTGGAGAGGAGAGGGAAAGGCGATTGTTGACTGAGGCTCTGAGAGATGGCTATGTTCTCTGCCAGTACGTTGTTCACTCACCTTCGATCCCATGGGCCGTGTCTTATTGTTGACAATTCTATCTCCGAACAGACTCATGAACAAGCTTTTTCCGGGCACCATCTCTCGCGTGGATCCAAAGGAGGACGGGGTAGCGCGGTCGTCTAATGTCACCCGTTTCCTAGCAGCCTGCACTTCTGTCGGTGTATCATCAGAGGATCTCTTCGGCCGAGACGATCTCACCATAGCGAACGCGGAGTCCCTAGCCCAAGTCGCTCGTACAGTCCTTGCTTTGCAACGACACGCGGAGTTCCCGTCCCCCGACAAGTCCAGGTACATCCAGGGCGGCGTAGGACAGGGACCATATAGTGCGGGGGGCGGCTCGCGTGCTGCTTCGTCGACGCCGAATCTCACCTTCGCTCAGATGCAGCGCTCAACCTCGCCTGTCACGCCGCACTCGCCAACTGGGAGGAAACGCTGGAGCCCGCCGCAACCGTTGCCGACGCTTCGCTCAGCGAGTCCTGCGGAAGACGGCTCTGGGTCAGGCGGTTCCTCGGGAGGGAAGACGGTTGGCAATGGCCACGCAAACCACGGTGGGGAGAGCGACCTTGAGTTTGACGAGGTCCCTCCCATCATGTCTCCCCCACCACGATCTCCTCTTCGTCCAAGACCGAGTGTCGACCGCACCTCCGTAGCAGACTCGACACGCGCCTCCGTCGGCGACTCCGTGCGAGCGTCTGTGGCCGATTCAATAGCTGCTTCTCCGATACGGCAATCCCAGGCATCCACCATGACGGACACCACTGCCTTTTCGAGCCTGCTGGAGGTGCAGAGGACCACCAGTACGGGACAGAACAAGTTTGGAACCATTCGCACGGTCACTACTGAAGCCACGTCTGTCGACGCGAGCGAGACACCCTCATTCACGTTTGCAGAGGGTAAGGCGATGGCCGCGACCTTGTTTGAGGAGCCGGCTCGAAGACGAAGCGGCGAGACACCCACCAGGCCATCCCGCGAGCGACGTCCGAGTGAAACCGTGCCCGTTGACTTGGCCAGAGTTGCGGAGGAGACAGAGGAGGGTTCATCGAGTTCGAAGAGCAAATCCAGGAGCGGAGTGTCCCTCAGCAAGCCAGAGCAGGATCGCGAGCCAAGCCCACAGAAAGCGTCCCCCATAAAATTGGGCAAAGGCAAGTGGCCGGATGACTTTATAGATGCATTCCAGGCCCCGAAGTCCTCCATTCTTGATGGGGACGAGTTCGGCGTCTATGAACCCGTCACACCCATTTCCTCGTCACCTCCCCGCAAGTTGGCTATTGTCGGCGCTTCGAGGCCTGACGCAAGCGTCGAGTCCCTGCCACAGTTCCCTCGGCGTCCGACCCATCGTGCGAGACACAGCGTCGATACTCCTGGCCTTCTGCCGAAGGATCAGGTGTTGTTCAGAGACGCCAGTCCAGACGGCGGGCCTCCATCCCCTAGGATCGTCTTGCGACGTAGCAGTACGCGCACTGGGGCCCAACGAAATGGCGTCTACGTACCTCGGAGCGACTCTCGCTCTCAAGAGAGCGACACGCGCGTACCATTTCCACGATCTGTCTCCGCCGAACATGCCCCCGCTTTTGCCCAGGATCACTCGGGCGAATCCACTCCCGCAGGTTCGTCGACGACGTCCAAGCCGGGCTCACCTGGTCCTCATGACAGGCCTCGACAACCTCGCGGTCGCTTCCAAAGCGAGATTGACGGGGCCAGTTCGCGCAGAAAGCCCCGTCCCAACTCGTACGACGAGCTCGGTGCTAAGCCTCGTCGGTCAAGATATGAGAGTATGGTGAACCTGGGGGTCGTGACAAGCAACGCGAGTGCCAGCGACATCCTCACGAGAGACCCTTACGAAGGCAGCGCTGTTCGGCAGACGCTGGTTGTTAGAGAAGACGGCAAGCCGCCGACTCAGTTCGTACGTATTCGAAGTCCTCTGTGTCTGCTCCCGTAACTTAACGTTGGCACTAAAGCAACTCGGGAACTGTATCGGGCGAGGTCAATTCGGTGCTGTTTATCGGGCCCTGAACCTAAACACAGGACAGATGGTGGCGGTCAAGAGGATTCGTCTCGAGGGTCTCAAAGAGGACGAAATCAAGCAGCTCATGAAAGAGGTCGATCTCGTCAAGAGCTTATCTCACCCGAGTATCGTCAAATACGAGGGCATGGCGAGGGATACCGACTCCCTGAGCATCGTTCTTGAGTACGTACTGATCAGCGCTGTTAGACAGCCATTCTCACGCTGTATATAGGTACGCAGAGAACGGTTCGCTAGGCCAGACACTGAAGGCGTTTGGCAAACTCAACGAGCGTCTTGTGGCCGGCTATGTGGTCAAGATCCTAGAGGGTCTGCACTATCTTCATCAAAGCGATGTGGTCCACTGCGATCTGAAGGCGGCTAACATCCTCACTACCAAGACCGGGAATGTCAAGCTCTCGGACTTCGGGGTCTCGCTCAATCTGCGAGCAATGGAACGCGAGATGAAGGACGTGGCGGGGACGCCGAACTGGATGGCTCCCGAGGTTATCGAACTGAAGGGCGCTTCTACGAAGTCCGACATTTGGTCGCTTGCTTGCACGGTCATCGAGCTTCTCACAGGGCGTCCCCCTTACTCAGAGATCGCAAACAGCATGTCTGGTATGTCTATGTCCTGCTGCGTACCTGATCCGTATTGATCGTTCTCTCAGTCATGTTTCGTATCGTCGAGGACTCCATGCCACCCCTGCCGGACGGGTGTTCGCAGTCGCTGCAGGATTTCTTGAGACAGTGCTTCCACAAAGACCCGACGAAGCGACCGAGTGCCGAAGAGCTGTGTGAGCATGAGTGGCTGAAGAAAAACTGGGCTATCCACAACAAGGTGCGTGGTGTTACGTACCCGACGTTTACAGCTCCCTGACGGTTTTGTAGGAGTTGCGGCCTCAAGATAGCATTCCTTTCTTGCGTCGCGTCTCTGCCGACTATCACGCGCAAAAGGCGGACGTTATGCGATATCTCGCCGGTGTTGAGATGCCCGAACGTCTAGAGTCAGATAGAGCGTCTCCAGCATTGTCGTCGTCTCCCGACAAGCGGCCACGCGTCGACGTGTCACCTGCAACACGTAGACCTTCCAACGATCCTGATCATTTTTCACCACGCGAGCACTCCTTTGTACGAACCACCTTCGGCAAGCGTACGTCCAGTTTATTTTCATATACCACCAAAGTGTCTAACGTACTGTCACAGCTGTCATATGCCGCGTATGTAACCAAGGAGTGAAGAAAAGTGCTGTTCTTTGTGAACAATGCAGTCTTATCTGCCATGCGAAATGTGCTCCGAATGCACCGCCAACCTGCGATTTACGAGCACAGCTGCTTCTATACGCACAGTACGCGGAGACTGGTAGTCCGACTGGCCAATACAGCAACCCCATGGAGCTCCTCGAGGCACTTCAGGCAAACGGACCCCTCAGTCCTGTTTCCGATGGCAGTGACGTTACCCCCAGAACCAGTTTCGATACGCCTAGCTCGCCTTCTCCTATTCCTATGGGCGGCGCTGTTCACCCACCTAGCGCATACAAAGTGCTCGCAGCGTTCAAGCGCTCGAAGTCCTTCCTGACCGAACATTCGGACAAATCCTCTCCTGCCCCTTCATCATCACCTTCTTCTCCCCGCCTCCCGTACCCTCTGATCGTCGTCAGATATCGCGCAAGCGTTCTGTTCTGACGAAGCGCAAGTCCGAGGGCAAGGAGCGACCGCTCTCTATTTCCAGCAGCAGCACGGGCCCCAATACCTCGAGCATGCGAAGCGCCGTGACGGCCACAGAAAGCATGGCTAGCACGCAGCGAGGATCAACGCGGACCATGGCCACGGGGACGGACCCACACGGCCTCCGAACCAGTCTGATTCAGGTTCTCGCAGATGACCGGCTATTCCATCCTCTCTTCCGCTGCTACAGATCAGGAGGAGGGCAGAGTTCCGGGAGACCTCTCCAGGAGCGGTCGACGCCGCGATCGAGATTCGAAGTCGAGCAACGGCTGCTCGGTGCAGTGATTTATTCATCTCCGTCTCATTTATTTGCGTGCACGCTGCTCACCCGGACGACTTATACACGTGTACTCTGTACTGCATGGTCTCATTGCATTTACGCTCGTTGCATCGTCATGGGACTCGACATTTTACTCCGCATTTCGTACTGCATATATTGCCCCCCTTCGCGTAATATGCCATGTCAGGCACCTCGACGTCCTCACCTCATTATACCTTGTCTTTATCATTAAGAGCTGCTCAGTATTACTTTGACGTTGTCGTAGTACAATGTGTGTACCAACAAGCGTGTCGCATGTCACATGTATACGAGAATACATAGGTTGATATGCACTACTTCCATGAAAGTTCGAACACTGTTTAGACATGTGCAGTCTTGGTAAGTCTGGCACTCAAGCATCACTACTATTGATCTCGGACTGCCAACCTCTCACCGCACGGACACCAGCTCGACGAGACGTTCCAGTCATGATTTAGACGCCGGTTCGTACCTTGTCTGAGTTGTCCACGACTAACTGGTCAACAGTTCAACTTGCACACAGTCCGTCTTGGGGCAATACCGCTACGTAGTATACATAGCGCCGCTATGTTGTGTGATCAGTGCATCTGGTTCTACCAAACTGCACACCACTGTACGTTCCACAAGTACAATTATGCATACTTACCTTGACTCGGATGTTTGCCTGCGACGGCGATTTACATGCTGCTTGGCAGGCGAAGAGTGTCTGTGTGCAATGTTCTGTCGGCAAGTCGTCCTCTTCTCCGAGTCAGTGGACCAGGTAAAGTTCTCCCAAAATAGCCTTCTCAGCTCTTCTCTAGCAGCTCAACTAATGCGTCCTCACGGTATGTCCGAACTGTCCCCTATCTTCCGCGGCTACATGTCTATCATTCTATGGACGTACAATGTAGTGCGTGATTCTGACTATCTTCAGGCATTACTGACAGACGGATTTCCTTGGTATAGGCAAGAGCGCCAATTGCCTGGGTGCTGCGGAAATACGTTCACCAGAGCAGATTTGCTCCCGGGATCCCCAAGATCGCAAGTTCCGAATCTGCATCCCACATGGTGCACTTGCCTGTCATATCGCGCAATGCAAGCCAAGGAACATATGCAGGATGCCCACCGCCGCGGCCCGAGGTGGAAGTTGCGCTTCCTGTGGATTTAGTAGGTAAGTCTTTGCTTCAGTAAAGTCTTCTCCTGTTATCCCTCATGTCCAGTACCGATAGAAGACCGTATCACGAGGTGGATGAGCGGCGTACCAATTCGCAAGTAAACCTCAATGTAGTTTATCGACATTATCGGCCCAATTCCTCGGTCTTCTCGAGGTGAATCCCTATCCGAGTCGCGCATTAGCACGCGATGCGTCTTCTGTAGCCTCCGAGTACCTCGCCTTATGGACCGCCCTTCTGGAATGTGTGCTCCAAGATCCGGAGCAGGCACAGAACGCCTTGGATTCCCGCCGTTAAAAAGCTCTACGTAGTGGAGAAGCGAGGCGTCGCCTGTCTTGGTTCGGCAGGACACTCTCCAACTGTAGGACGGCTGAACGCGTCTCTGGATCCGCTCGCATGGCCGATCATCTCGAATCATTGCCTCGGACTGGATCGCCTCTCTCCGGACAAGGTTCATTCGAGGAGAAAGCAGGTTCTCCCCGACTACGAGAAACCAGAAGCTGAGTACGGGGGACTCCGGAGAAGTGGACAAGACCCGACTCGTTGTCGGGTGAGTAGTTATGTTCGCGGCGTGTCGTTGATACTCGACGCTGATATCGACGCCAAGATGATGGCAATACGACCTACCTGAAAGGAGAACCTGTGATCACGAGTGGCAAGACGTATCGCGATTCTTGTGGATGTACGAGACGATCATGACACTGCGCTCACGTTCCGATCCTCTTCTGGGCACTCTCTTCGCTGGGCTCGGTGCTGCAGTCTGTCAGGTGCGTCCAATCTTGCTGGACCGCCTATAGCGACTGACAGCGTCTCAGATCTATCTATTCAAACCTGTACAAGTCACGGTGTCGTCGGTCTTCCTCTGCTGCTCATCTACTCCATCGGTACGGCCTGGGGCAATTCTTGCCCCGCGGTCCTGGTCCAAGGACCCGGTTCGCACGGCTTGCACCCATCTTTGACTTCATCAACCCTGGCGATTCAGACTGAAGGAGGTACGTCGGTAACGCGATTTGCATGCAATCGCATGACTGTCGCAGCATGTGATTGCACTCTGGTCGCTTCTACCGCCTCTGGCGGGAGTCCGCTGTGCAGAACTTCGCAGTTCAGCGAGTAAGTCTTCGCTTCGCAGCTTTTTTGGATCAGCGTTGAGATGTTCCAGCTCTACTACAACACCAACGTCAAGCGACGACTGCGATTCTTGCCACCTTCTCACGGCGTGCTTTGGGTAGTCACACTTCGTAACGGTGCCAGTGTCCCTCGTGTTACCGGGCTTGAAGGTATGGCTTAGTCGGATTGCTCCGTCCTCTGACCGTCTACCCGAGCGAGATGGTCTACTGGTTTGTAAGTCATCCTTGCTCGCTGATCAAGTGTAATTCTACTTATGCACATTAGAACTGCCATCGGTTCTATTTCCAAGGTTTGTTTTTTATACGATGACATAATCGTCTGACTGCATTCCGTCAGCTCTCCACTTCGATAGCGGCGCGAACCGGAGCGGGTCAAGCTGTTTGGTCGGCCTTCACGGGATGTTCTGCTTCGAGTCATCCCCTCGTACATCTTCCCGCTGCTCAACGGTGTCAGCGTTGTCTGCCTCGCGACCCAGAAGTCTCCCCATCAGCGCAGAACGTCATCACCAACTTTTGGAGGTACGATGGTAACGAGGGCTCGGCCTGCTCAGCATCTCGTTTGACTGGCAGTACATCACGTCGCAGTTCACCAGTTGCCTTTAATCCAGCAAGGTGGGCAGTTTTTTCTCGAACTGGTGCACATGTTGAAGGTATCCAGCGAATTCGTGGTCGGATATGCCTTCTGCTACGCCATCGTCATGGCCATCTATATTCGAATGCATGGAACGTAGGTACCGATCATTTGTTGCCCAGTAAACCACTCAGTCATGTGCGATCAGTCGCTGTCATTCCCGATGCTTCGACGTCGATCTTCTCGTCAATGGCTCCGTCTACGACCAAGCCGTCGTCTTGGCTCAGATGGTATCCTCAACCAGACCGCCTTGGACGAAGTCGGCCTGCCGCGCTGACGGTCAGTACTCCATGTTCGCTTGTTCCCTACACATCAAGCTGACTATGTCACCAGGCTCAAACGCGTGGTCCCAGCTAACGCCAACCTCGCTGTACGTCTTCGCTTCGGCAGATACTCAGATTGCGCTGACACCATGTTCAGATCGGTGGCTTGATCGCGCAACCGTGCTCTTCTGGAGCCCGTACGTGTGCAGTCATTCAAGCAGGCGAGGACAAAGTCTCAGCCGGATCCTCACTGGCAGGTGCGCGTTGCGTGAGCGATTGAGAAGTTATATCATTGAGACGGCCCAGATCATGAACCGTGACTACAAGGAAGTACCTTGGTACTGGTACCTCGGCCTGCTGGTGTTTGCGTTCTTTGCTGGTAACGACATCTGCAGTGCTCCCTCTCAACGTGCTGATGTCCGGATTGTTGTGGCTTACAGGTCTCATCGTCGTCCTCAAGGGCCAGACTACCCTGCCGTGGTGGTCTTACCTGATTGCGCTGTTGCTGGGAGGTGGTTCGAGTTACAGCACCGCTGAAATTGGACTGATCGCAGCAAGCGTTCGTCACCCCGTTCTCGACTCTGCTCTAGCGCGCATGGGCAACGGGATCGCGACACAGCAGCTGATGAAGATGGTGGCGGGCGCGATCAACCCCGGACGCCTGTTGCCAACCTCTACGTAGCCTGTCTCTCCGTGTTCTACTCGGACGGTGGCTGACAGAGTGCGCTTTCCTACTCCGTAGTTCTCGATGTGGAGTCATGATGTCGTCGCGACGTCTATCGGGCTTGCTGGAGACCTCAAGATTGGGCAGTACCTCAAGATCCCACCGCGTGCGATGTTCGTCACGCAGGTCTGGGGTACGATTCTTGGTAAGCATCGGCACACCTAGTCAATTGAGACGTTGCGCTGACACGACCCGCACAGGCGCGCCGTGAACTACGGTACGTCGTCTTCCATGACGATGCCATCCGCTACATATATCAATAGCGGTCATGGTTCCATCGTCGACGCACAGCGCGACATCCTGCTGAGCCCCGAGGGGACCAACGTCTGGAGGTCTGTCGTTTGTATTTCCCGTCTCATAGCTGCTGACAGTCCTGTTCCTACAGCGGCCAGACCGTGCAGAGCCTCAACAGCGCCGCCTCACCTGGTCGCTCGCGCAGCAGCTCTACGGGCCGCACGGGCCCTACATCTGGGTGCCCCTCAGCTGCTCTTCGGGATGGTCCCGACGTTCTTCCAATGGCTCATCTCCAAGGTAACCGTCCCGACGTACGCGCGCGCCCGCTGAGACTCACCTCACCTCCCCCGCCCGGAACAGCGCTTCCCGCACATCGGCCCACTGGTATCAGGACGGACTCGGTCATCCTGCCCATCATCTACATGTACGCGGCGTGGATGACCTCGGGCACGAACTCGCCCATCACGTCCGCGATCATCACGGGCCTGGTGTCGCAGCTCTGGCTGCGCAGGTACCACCCCGGGTGGTACCGGAAGTACAACTACATCCTCGGTGCGTCCCAGGACCCACGCACACTCCGTTCGCGCGCGTGCTGACCTCGACGCGTGCAGGTGGTGCGCTGGACGGCGGCGCGCAGGTGATGATCTTCATCCTGTCGTTCGCCGTGTTCGGCGCGTCGGGCACGCCGCGGCGTTCCCTGCATGGGCGGGGAACCCTGCCACCGGGAACACGGATTACTGCAACGGCAACCAGGACTGAGTGCTGAGTGCTGCGTCGCCATGCGTCAGCTAGCCTGCCACATGCGTGAGTGGCGGGCGTCCTTCTGCGGATGTCGGATTTCTTAAACGTTATTGGGTACATGTATTGCGGGGCGTGGGCTGCGCGGGTTCCTGGGCGTCTTCTTGCTGTAGCTTTAGATGTTACGATGGCGTATATACGCACTGGTGCTTATGTTCCTTGTGTCCTGATCGAGGAAAGGATGCAGGCGTGGGGAGCGAGCTGGCAGGTGGAACGTGTTGTACGAACCGCATGATCACAGTCACGACAGAAATGCTCATTCATGTGTTACGAATTGAATTGACAGAGAGCGATATGGCCTTGCAATATGCCCGCGCGAGTCCCACGCCTATCGCTGCGGACCGAAGATGAGAAACTCGAACGTCCAGTGCCGTATATGAGCGGCTGCCTCTGTCAGCGTGTTAAGTGTTGACAGCGAAACAGCGCATAGCGCATGTCGGGTTGACAGGTGTACCGGTGAGTAACCCAATCGAGGCGAGCCGCCTAATACTTACCTGAGTCGACAGGCCTACGTATACCTACGGGCCGTGGCACATCTCACTGCGCCAGTCAGACGTACCAAGGATACAAACTCACTCGGAGTGGCTCTATAAATAGCGTAACGACATACGGTAGCTATAGGAATCCATCAGCGTATGCTCGGAAAGTGGCAGCGACATACGAAGGCTCCCACAGACATGTGCGGCATATTTGCAATGGACGATGCGTTGTGGATGGATCATGGGTGGTCGCGCAACCATACGACCAGCCATGGCTGTAGCGGAGGAGACGCACCTCCGATGCCAGCTCCAGTGGTCGTCTGCCTCCTCGGATGCGGTACATAGGGCCACGGCAGCCTCGGGCTACTACACCCTCGCGGTCCCGCATCAACATGCTTTCCATTCGACTATCCGGTACTGCACTGTACCGTGTTATTTCACCATCACCCTGTAATTCGTGGCCTGCCACCGCGGACGAGCGTTGTGCCGGCGCGGTGGACCGTGGTGGGCGGTGCGAGAGCCTCGAGGCCTGTATTGCGCAATGCGCCACATGTTCTGCACGAAGGTGCGCTGCGCCATGCGCATCACAATATAATGCACGTACCCGAAAGCGTATATATGCGCCCACCCAAGCATAGCGGATGCTAGTACTATAGCAACCGACTTGCCGATTGAGGAACGGCCGCGGAGGTGGCACGGGCGACCGTCGCCGGTGCAGGTCCGGAGTGCTCGAGTTTGGTGGCGGCGCGGACTGGACGGAGCAGATCAGCAACAAATCAAGAGGGCGGTGTGGCCCGGCGGCGACATCGTCCCGCGCGCCCAAACGTCGACGTTCGCCGGCCGTGTAATAAATGCCAAGTGGGCGATGGCAAGGCATAGCTGAAGCACGCCCAGACGAGACTGAGGTTAGTCCAGCCTGCCATGAGCCTCGTCAACCAATACATATGTGGATGATCGCACAGCCAATCAGCACAGGATAAGGCGCGATCGGGTTCTTCCGACGAACCAGTGGGCAGAGTCGACAGGTGCGCCGGCGAATATTGATGGCGATTCCGCGGGGCTGGCAAAAACGTTCGCTCTCCCGGGGCTTTTGGGGAAATTTTCGAGTGACCGCCGTGGTCCGGAGCGCAGACAGACGGGTGTGATCACTGTGCAGGCGCAAAGAGATGAGTTCTAGCTGCGCTTCTCGAGCTCGAGACGGGAACTTCTGCCGGCGACACGAGCGGTTGCTGCGCTCAGGTGAGCAGTTGCGCAGCCAGGAGGCTTTGACACCGTGACCAGCGTATGTGTCGCAACTGAGCAAGCCACCGAGCGTACGAGTGTGGTTGGTCAGATCAGGATCAGGATTGAGATTGAGACAACAGGGGGTGAGATGGGGGGCAGCAGACAAGGCAGATGGTGTTTTGTCGCAGCATTGACATGCGTGGCGCGGTTTGCACTGCGGACGGAGGTGAGCGTTCCTCGAGTCAGACGATGTCGATCGCCATCTCCGGAGAGAAGAAACAGGCGCACTCGACGCCGGAAGGGGCGTGACTGTGACAGAGGCTGAGCTTCTTTGGCAGTGTCCAGGCAGAGGACTTCGGACACTGCTCACCACAATGTGCAGTTCCGAGAAAGGTTGGTTGATCAATCATCTTGACAGGAATGTTCAAGGAATGTTGTGATCTTCCATGACACTGTAGGAAAGCCAGTCATCGTGACGGAATCAGACCGTACCGTACTCTATCCCTGCATGTTGTGCGACGTGCGTTGCTCGACGTTGAGGGTACCTCACGTTGCTGTCATCGGTAGTTATGAACAATAGGACCGTCATCTGGGCGACGTCATCGCTGTGGCCAAAGCCACCCGATGGTTGCCTGTTTCGGCAGTCATCCTTCTTTTCTGGGCTTCCCTTCACGCCACTTCTGTGAAGAGTATTGCTGGGCCGGCATATAAGGCAAAGGCTGGCCATTTACGGCGGTTCCCCGCGTTGTTTCGACAGCCATGCAGGCGCGGGGTTGGATGGCCGTGGCCCACTCGGCTCACGATCGCCCGTTACGTTGGCCCGATGCCACTGTTCGCACCGGGGCTCACTGCCCGTCACCGTAAGCTTCAACACGCTTTACGGATGCCGTCTCGGGACCTTGCACAGTTCTGCGAGAGAGAGCGACGCGACCGACGCTGAAGTGGCAGACTGGGTGCGGGGCGGAGTGGCTGCACAATGGCACGGTATGTGATTGTCTGTGAGTGCTCGAGGTCTCGGTCACAATGGGCGTGACTCCCACGGCGGGGAGAACAAGAAGGAGCTGTGCCTGCTGGTGCCTCTCCGGCGCCGCCGCCGCATGCCGCATCTGCCTTGTCCCATCATTTTCCAGAACAAAGCCAAACGCCCCGCGCTCGGTCGTATATAAACCGCCGCCATGCCCGCATCCATTCCCCAGACCTGCTCTCCGTGCAGTCTAGCCGTTCTTTGGCCTCCGCCCTTCCTTTCTCCTCACTGTCCCTTCCCTTTGAGGCTTTCCGAAGTTCCAGTCCTTCATTTTCCCGACTCACAACTTCAGCTTCAGGACATCCGCCCCATTCATTAGCCCCAAGATGTTCTTCTCGTTCGCGCACGTCTTCACCGCGCTGTCCGCGCTCTCCTACGTTGGACTGGCCTCGCCGCACCCGTCCCGGTCTGCTCGCTCGGCAACCGCATCGGCGGGGACAACTCGACCTCGTCTTCCGGGGACGGCTCCGGTTCCATCTCCAACTCTACTCCCCTCCAACTCTACCTCCGGCTCTAACGGCACGACGACTTCATCTTCTGGCCCTCACTGGGTTGTCTACAGTGACTCCTGGGTTTCTGGCGAGAATGGCCCGCCCGACGCTTCTGTCATTGGTGTGAGTACACCTCTGCTTGCATGTTCGTCTCCGTGCCGTGGAGTGGTTCGCGCACGGCATTCATGCATCAAACGCGCCACACGGTTGGACCGCCACGCGACCTGTGCAGTCCGTGTCTGACAAGAGCGCACCGTTGTATGAAGTGACCTTGACCAGCGAACGCTAATCGCCCTTTACTGGCACGGGTTACCAGTTCGTTGGGCTAACACAACCTGACGTTTCATGCTCTCATGGCTCGCTCGTCTGTTCTGCTGTTTCATCTGATGTCTGACACGAACCTCGTCTTGCAGGGCTACAACGTCTTCATTTGTCGTTCCTCACTGCTTCGGGCGCCGTCGACCAGGCCAAGAATGGGCATCTCTCGACGATACCACTCGCTCCACCATCAAGGCCGCCTACAAGGCCGCAGGCGTCAGCCTGATGGTCTCCGCTTTCGGTTCGACCGAGACTCCGACCAGCTCTGGCACTGACCCCACGTCCGCCGCCCAACGATGGCCGCGTGGGTCAGAAGTACAATCTGGACGGCATTGATGTCGACTACGAGGACTTTGACGCGTTCAACGACGGCAGCGCCATCGAGTGGTTGGAGACTTTCACCACCGCGCTCCGTTCCGCGCTCCCCGCTGGTCAGTACATCATCACGCACGCCCGGTCGCGCCCTGGTTCTCGGGCAAGTCCGTGTACCCGAGCGGCAGCTACCTCGACATCGACGCCAAGGTCGGCTCCATGATCGACTGGTACAACGTCCAGTTCTACAACCAGGGCGCGTCGGAGTACACCGATTGCAACGGCCTCCTCACGTCTCCGGCGGCACGTTCCCCGGCACGTCGGTCTTCGAGATCGCCGCGAACAACATCGACCTCAACAAGCTCGTCATCGGCAAGCCCGCTTCTGCTGCCGATGCGAGCAACGGTTACATGGACACCGCGACGCTCGCGTCCTGCGTGTTGCAGGCTCAGTCTAAGGGATGGAATGCAGGTGTCATGACGTGGGAGGTGAGTCCTGTCTCTATCGTGCGCACAACGCCCATGAAACTGACTGTCCCCTCATAGTACCCCACGGCTGACGCCTCATGGATCAGCGCCGTCCGCGCGTCCGCCTTCCCCGTGAACTAAGCCAAGCGCCGCCCTCACGACTCTCACACGCTTCTCCAGGTGCGCGCGCCAGCTCGCGCGCGCCTCCCTCCCCCCTCCGTCCACGACGGAACGGCGGAGCTTTCCCTCTTTCAATTCTGGGTCCTGGGTCCTGCTGCTGTTTTTATATACGCTCTCTCTCTGCTCACGCTCTCTCACGACCGCTCTGGCACGCGTCACTCACCTGTCTCTATAGCTGACTTGTATCGTTATTGCTATGTAGCGCGATCCTAGGGATCGTGCGCGGGCGCCGCGCCTCCGAGCGAGCCGGCGCCGTGCGTCTGTCTCGACGACGACGACCTGTCTCCTGATGTTGCTGTATTTGATATACCGCTGTGTATGTGTGTGTGTATTCGAGATACCGCATGCTTGCGTTACGTGTTGAACATGATGTGTTATCCCATGTGCTCGTGTTTGTGCGGTGAGAGACGACTTGCTTAGGTGCGTTGAATCTTGCGTGAGTTGGCTGCGGAGTTCGGCGATGTGCTTGGGGGCAGGCTGTACGCAGGCGGTGTCTGGGTTTGGGCTTAGTGTTGGTCCGTCTCCTAGTATACGTTGCGCGTCCTCAACTAAGGCACGCGCGTAGACTTCGCCCTCATTTTCATATAATACGCTTCACGCACTGCTCAGACTGGCGTACTAGATCGCGGGCGCAGAGGGAAGTTCATTGCGCGGGAGGCGGTGAGGAAAGCATCAGTTGTCTGACGTCTCATCTCATCGGTGTTGTGAGTACAAGTGCAGTCATTGTGAGGTTTGCATGGTTCAGTCGTAGTAATGACACAGGTCCAGTGCACAGGCCGCCGCGGTGTCAAAGCAAAAAGTGGACATCTGTACTAGCAGTACGATGCGATTCGGACTGACGCACACACTGCAGGTCTCAAGCCAACACTAGTTCGACTACTCACATGTACTCACAAGCACGCCTGCTCTATCGCACGTCGTGATCATGCTTCCGTATTCAGTACTCAGTGCTGGTTTTCCATATATATGCACGCCGGAGCTCCAAAGAGAGGGTGGATAAGAGAGATACAATATGGACTAGACATTACGTACATACAGGGCGAACCTGCCTCCAATGATATATAACTGAGCACCTTCCGCTCTCCTCAACTCCTTCATGCACGAGCACAGTCAGTCAGTCGAGCAAGTTTTGTTTAGACTTCCCCTGAGGGCTTCGCGGCGAAGTGCAGCGTCCAGGATGAGAGCAACCGCCTTGCGTTCACCTGGTCACCGGTCAACCTACGCAGAACCGTCAGCAACACGTCAGCCAACAAGACGGCGAGAACCTACCCTGGTGTGCCGTAGGTGAGGGGTGCGATGTAGCAGTACATGATGAACATAGCCACGACGAAGAGGCCGAAGATGATCGGGCCCTTGATGCCGACGTCCGCGTATATCGACGTTTTGGGGCGTGTGGAGGGACCGCGGATGGAGATGGGGTAGTTCACGGTCTCGGAGAGCACGAAGCTGAGCACGGAGCCTGCGACTAGCGCGGAGGCAAGGTGCGACGGGAGGTAGTGGTGGACGAAGAGCTGGCGGCTCATCACGTAGAAGGGGAAGTAATGCACGAGCCAAAATATGAGGAAGAAACCGGTCGAGTTCCAAAGCCTGTTGCGGACGGCTGTGAGGTGGTCATTAGCTAGTGGTCTCGAGGTTTGTCTCGGTGCACATACAGTCATGTATCGGTTCGACACCTCGCCTGCGGGCGATCAAGTCGGCCCCAATGATGCCGACGTAAGTCGAGATGGCGACGACACATGTCCACCAACCAATGATGTTACCGATCAAGTAGATCTGCTTTTGATCGGTGTTCTCTGTCCAGAAGCTAATGCCGCTGAGAAGGAATGGCCAGTTGATTGGGCTGCTGGCGTAGGGATGGGACGCAGTCAACCCCGCGTTGTGCTGCACCATGAGAAGCTGTAGTTCCGCGAACTTCTTGAAGAAATTCCGGCTCTTGGGCTTCTTGCTCCCTACGTTCGTACGATTCCCGACATCTGCACCTGCTTTGCCACAGTGAGACGCGGTCACGTGGACAAGGTAACCGCGACTTACTCTCTTCGTCAACGATGTTGTCGACGAACCAAACATTACTCTTCTCGTTGATGTTCTTGTTCCCGTTGATTTCTTGCTGGTTGAATGCCCAATCAGGCAGCTGCTTCGTGTGCGTCCACATCGCCACCTTGGTCGGCACGTGGATAAGTTTGAAATGCCCGGACTTGCTCTTCCACGACTCCCCTTCCTCTGCGTCAACAAGCGACAGCTTGAACAGCGTGTCGTTGTGGCGCGAGTGGTCGTCTTTTGGCCAAGTCGTAAATTCCTCGTTCGTGGCCATGAGCGGTGATGCGACGTCGTGTGTGAGCAGGTAAGACTGTGTGCTGACATGGAGCAGCTGAATGACGTCGTTCTCGCGGATGATGCGGCCACGACCAGTCTCGGGCAGTGCCTTGGTAGGGATAACTTGCCAATAGTTGTTCGTGTCATCATGTCCATATCCCGTGACTTGTTGTCCTATGCAGAATGTTAGATAGGAAGCATAACCGGCATAACGGGCGCGCACATACCCTGACTGCTAACACGACCATCATCGTATCTCAGCGGATAACGCTCCGGATGAGAGTGCAAGAAGGCGCGTGTGTCTCTATGCCGGACGGTGATGGTATCGAAGTAGTGGATTTCTGGCAAGACGTTGGGTTGTTTGACTGCAACACGATTGTGGCTCGCATACCTTGGCTGTTCAGTAGCAACTCATTGCCCTCCAGCGTCTCTTGGAACGCAGGACTCATAAATGAGTCACCGGGACCAGTGTTCGTCAAAATGGCCAGATGAATCCAGAAGAAGATGAGATACAGAGTGATCGGGAGAACGATCAGTCCAACCGCTCTGGCAACGAAGTGTTTCGTGAAGTATTCCTGACGACAAATCTGGTGTCAACACAAGGTAGACGCCAAAGCATGATACGTACCATGCTATGCCCCTTCTTGACGTCGAGAATGTCCCATAAATCGATCAATACAGGAATACCAATCGCCACGACCGTCAAGATGCCGTTGACTTTGGAAGCCCACGCACAGGCCATGAATGTACCCGTACCAAGCAGCCAGCCCCACCATTCAGGAGAGAATTCCCTGCGGGGGTCTATCAGATTCATATGCAAGGGAAGGTATCAGAACATACTGGTAACGTAGTTTCCGGAATCGGACGTAGCAGTACATGGTCGTGGCGATGAAGAAGATCAGGATTGCATCGAGGAGGATAAGGCGGCTTTGAGTGACGTGGGCGTTGTCTAGCAAAGTAATGATGTCATGCCTAGTCAGTACAGCAGAGGTTAATTGAGCATACCAAAGAGGACCAATGACGCCGAGAAGGCTGCAATGATTGTGGAATACCCGCACTCCTTCATGATGCTATAGACGACGGGCACTGTCATGCTTGAGAGGAATGCAGGGAGCGCGCGCATGCCGACGTAAGGGACATGGTTCTCGGTGTAGCTGTCTCCAATGTTGTCGAAGAGGAAGTGACCATCGTATCCGACGAACCAGCCAGCCAGACCGAACAACATCTTCGCGAGCGGTGGGTGCACATCGAAGTAGTACTGTCGTGTGATGTAATACGAAGCGAACTTGCCGAAGTGCACTTCATCGAACCTGTGGGCACAAACAACAGGAAGCGACGCGTCAAATGATCGGCAATGGCACGATATGAGATGTCAACACGCACACTACTTGGTCTGGATGGTTTATCTTGTAAAAACGGAGGGCAAACGCGAGGACAGTGAGAATCGCGATCACGGCAATATTAGCCTTGTCGGTCTCAAGTATCCTTTCGGCAGCGCTCCGATTCCGCTACATTCGGTGTACGCGTTGGTATGTCTTGTATACCACAGCCCTACGTGTCACGCACCGGACTGGAGAACTCAACCTGGTCGTCATCCTGCGAGACTTCGCTATAGCCTGGAGAGCGTGAAGTTGGACCTCGTCGCTGTCTGAGGGGGTTGGGGGAGTTGAGGCCCGACATGGCGGGAGATGGAGAGGGCTGCGGGGGACAATGCTCAACTGTCCGTTATGTTCACCGCGCACACGTGGCTGATCTCCTTCCCGATCTAAAGCCTTTGCCAAACACCACACAACACCCACCAGTCTAGCGCCCGCTACCGACCTTCGCCTCAGCCACCGCTGACTTACTTCCTTGCTGCAGTCATGGCCGACCTCACTCTCGATACGCTCATCGACGATGGCAACTACCTCGGCTCAGAACGCGCGAGGCTTGAGAACAAGATTTTGCTTGATGAGCTCGAACGCAAGAAGAAGGCGCGCAGCCTCGCCGTGCCTACCGACGATGCTAAAGTGAAAGCAAGACTGCGTGAGATTGGAGAGCCCATCACGCTCTTCGGTGAACGTGTGAGCTTCCTTCACCTGTCTCAAGAATGCTAGAACTCATAATCGCGTAGGCTGCCGACCGACGAGACCGTCTCATCTACGTCCTGTCACAAATCAATGCCGCAAGAGGAGAAGATGCTATGCAGGTCGACGAAGAGGAGAGTTCCGAGGAGAGTGAGGAAGAAGTACGTGTGCGCTCTTTCCCTCCAACCCGTGTATTCATTGGCTCTAGGTGGAGGAATTCTACACGCCAGGCTCTCTGGAGCTTCTCGAGGCGCGTAGGCGAATAGCGGAGTACTCTCTGCCCAGGTTGGATTTCCGCTACCAATAGGTGGACATCAGGAAGGTGCTTACTGCGTCTTTTGCGTCTTTATGATCCCATGTAGAGCTCAAAAAAGAGTGGCGCAGCAGCGGTTAGACAGCAAGATCCCCTTGGGGCGTATCATTGACATCCGCAAGAAGATATTTGCGGAAGTTCGGGTACGTCGCACATCGTTCCACCGACACTTTGTTGATTCTATGTTATGTTGCTTCAGCGATTTGCGGAGCTGGGTTCCCAGATTGGTGATGATCGGCCCATCTCACAAGTAAGATTCTCCCCCAATAGCCAGATCCTGGCAACGGGTAGCTGGTCCGGCAATGTCAAGCTGTGGAATATCCCAAACTGTACACCAATACGAACACTGCGAGGTTTGTCCTGCGCGCTCGCCACCCAGGTTCACTCATCGTAAGCTTTCGTCTAGGCCACACCGACAGAGTCGGAGGAGTTGCTTGGCACCCACAGGCTACGCTGGCTCAAAGCGAAGATGCCGTCAATCTGGTCAGTGGTGCCGGCGATATGAGTGTGAATCTCTGGTCTTTTAACAGGTGCGACACGTTCTGTACCATATGGATAACTTTGCTCACAGTTCCCCAGTGAGACACCGCTGTCAGTCATGAAAGGACACGCGGACCGTATATGTAGGGTAGCTTTCCATCCGAGTGGTGACTACGTTGCCAGTGCCAGTTTCGATACGTCGTGGAGGTTGTGGGATGTCGCGACGTCCAAAGAGCTCCTTCTGCAAGAAGGTCACTCAAAGGAGGTCTACTCAGTGGAGTTCCAAGAGGACGGTGCTCTTGTTGCGTCAGGGTACTGACTTCTACCCTCACTTGACGGCTTTGGCTGACTCATTTGTCAGAGGACTGGACGCCATCGGCCGAGTATGGGACCTACGAACAGGTCGAACGGCAATGGTATTGGACGGGCACGTCCAGGGGATCTTTTCTATTGCTTTCTCTCCCAATGGGTATGTACCTCTACGCACGCCATTTCATATTGCTGATTCCAGGACAAGTTATCAAATCGCCACTGGTTCCGGCGATGATACTATTCGAATATGGGACATGCGGTCATTGAAGGCGCTATACACCATCCCAGGTCACCTCTCTAATGTCGCAGACGTGCGTTTCTACCGAGGCACGGACTTGCCGTACGCCCCCTTCTCGCCGACACCGGACGTTGAAATGAATGGGATGGATGAGACACTGGACACGGATGACAAAACAGGCGCTCAGGAGGCAGAAGAACGCAAATACCGTTCCGGCCTGTACATGGCCAGCGCGGGCTACGATGGCCTGGTCAAGATCTGGAGTGCGGATGACTGGCAGCTGTTGCGAACGCTCCCCACGGATGGTGGCAAGGTGATGTCGGTGGACTTGTCGAATGACGGGAAGTATCTTGCGTCAGGGACATACACCCGCAACTTCCAGATGTTCGCTCCAGATGAGAGTGTTGCTGTGTAGATTTAGCGTGAAACGAGCTGAAACGAGACGGTCAAATTGCGGTCGGTACCCGCGCTGCCCGTGTGAGTGTGCCTTCATCTCAGGGAACGTACCGCGGAGAGATCTCGAAGCTTATGTTCGAACCCGTCAATTACGCGGCAGGGATGGGCGCCGTTCCCATGTCCTCGACTTCCCTGGTCAAGTGCTGACTGCGCCTTTCAGCCTACGCTCAGTTTCCTGCATTGGCTGAATGGATCTAACTGTTGTACGGCCGTCGTCACGTCGTGTCAGCACATTGGAGGCTCCCGAGACTAGTGTGGTCCGCACGGGTCGATTGTTTGTGTGAGCGGCGGTCTGAATATATAACCATTGATCCGCACAACGGCCGCTGTAAGTACGTCGAACTGTCCACCGCGTACCTAATACGCGGACCCGTAACTATATGAAGGGTTCCTGGTAGACTAGAGCCCTCCCTTCCTCACCTAATCCACCCACTGACCTATCATGGCTGGACTGTGGTCCACGCTCAGATATTCCAGGCGAATCCACAGACAATGTCGCCCCCCAGAACCCACGTTCAGCACGGACGATATACCCGATTTGACCGGCAAGGTCATGATAGTTACAGGCGCGTCTGCTCTAACATACGCCTCGACGACTCCGGGAAGACTGACTACCTATCTGGACGTGGCAGGAGGCAACGCGGGGATCGGGAAAGAGACAGTGAAGGTACGACTGTCGTGAACCTCGTTGGCTCTTACCGGTCATGTCGGTCCAATCAGGTTCTCCTCAGCCACAATGCTACGGTCTACATGGCGTCGAGGGATGAAACGAGGGCACACGCGGCTATCGACGAGTTGAAGGAGCAAACGGGAAGAGAGGCGATCTATCTTGAACTCAATCTTGCAAACCTTGCGTCCGTAAGGAGGGCTGCGGCGGAATTTCTCAGGTACAACCGAGTTCTCACTATCCTACTATGTTGCAATACCATCAACGTACTGACACGAACACGCGACAGCAAAGAGAAAGAACTGCATGCGTTATTCAATAATGCGTCAGTCAATGATTGGCAGACTGTAGAAAATATTGCCTCTTGACAGATCCATACAGCGGTGTCTCAACCATCCCTATGGACTGGCTCACAGATGATGGATATGACATGACCTTCGGAACGAACGTTATCGGTGCGTGAATCATCCATTGCCCTTCCGTGCTTCCTTGACGCATACAGGGGTCAGGTCACTTCCTTTTCACGAAACTCCTCCTTCCCACTCTGCTGGCAGGCAGAGATTCATCGCCGGATCACTTCGCTCGGGTGATCTGGCTGTCATCGTACGCGTCCTATCTGTCTTCCCTGCACTACGCCACCTTCAAAGAGGGCCCTGCCCGGAGGAAGGCGGGATACGCTAGAATGTATTTCCAAAGCAAGTTTGTGAGTAAGTTGCCCGATGAATGGCGACCTGAGCCTGATCTCAACTCTCTAGGCAAATGTTGTCCTAGCCCATGAGTGCGCACGACGATATGGAGCCCAAGGCATCCTGTCCCTTTCGGTCAACCCTGGTAGGTTCCCGACTTCCGACGATATGTTATGTCGACTGACCTCGTGTAAATAGGCAATATCAAGACAGACATCATGAAATACGCCTCAGCAGTCGATTTAAAGTTTGTCGTACGTTACGAGCGCACCTCTCGTTTGCTGCGTCACGTTCAGACTGTTGTGATGCTGCTTCACAGGACATCTTCATAAAGCTCTACCCAGTCGAGTATGGCGCCCTGGGTCAGCTCTGGGCAGGAACGATGCCGGAAGCGCTGCAGTACAATGGCGAAGTACGTGCATCGGTCCTCAACAAATGTCTTGTAGTTTGACTCTCTATGTGCGCAGTTTGTCGTTCCCTGGGCAAAAGTGGACGCCCGCCCCCGACAAGACGCGTTCAGCGAAAAGGTCGGCTCAAAGCTGTGGAGTTGGTTAGAGAACGAAGTAGAAATATGAGTGGTAGTCAAACTGGGGCTCACTGGTGTCGTAGCTGCCATGTTAGAGCATTGCTCCGACGTCTACCCATATGTGGCAGTTTCGAGTACAGTACTATGTCCGTCAGCTTGGCATTGGAGCGATAATTTACCCGTTGAGAACGTTATGGGTCTTCCGGTGCGTCGCATGGAGTCTCAGTGCGGCTCAGTTGGTTCACTCTCGTTCAGCGTGTCTCATGATGCCAGATGGCTGACAATAAAGCGCCGGGTTTGAGACAATCTATCATAGGTACATGTCGTGTGTGGAAGGGCAGTGTCCGTGTGACATTCCAGAGCAAGTAGCACAGAAAGCACAAAATTCCGACAATGGCAGAAAGACGGCAATGCTACTGATATCATCATCACCTGGACACGCAAGAGTAAGCAGGAGTTCTCGAAAATGGTGTCAAAACGCGTCGAGAACTCGACAAGGCGCGCGTGTTGCACCACGTGATCGCGTCGCGTCTGGAAAGGTCGAGGGTGTACAGTCCCCTCCACTGCGGTCATCCGACGTGAATCATACTGCTCTTTACAACAGACGCTGCATCCCTAGCCAAAGCAACGTCCCATCAGCACCGATCTCAGATAACTTGACTCTATGAGCGAGCAAGCTGACGCAACACACCTCCTACCTGCGCCTGAATCCAAGGACGCTACCAAAATCCACGTTGGCTCAGAGCAAGGAGCCAAATTCGACGCCCTAGGCCCATTGGTGGTGAACAGTGATGGGGTACGTATCTGTGTTACACAGAGTACTCATGCTAATCGATATTAAGACGCTCTCCCGCATCGCTAATTGGCCAAACATGACCGAGGCTGAGAGGAAGCGTACCGTGCGCGTGCTAGGTGCACGGAATAAGTACGTGGTATATTGACAGCGGCGTCACCGATATACTGAGCGGACTCTCGTATTGCAGACTCCGAATTGCAGATCAGGAGAAGAAGGAGCAAGACCTAGGTTCGGAACCTAGTTCATGATGAGTTCATGATAAGTTCATGAGCATGCCATGCATCCGGTCTATGTACCTCCACTCTAACGTGCAATGATCCAAGATTGTATCAATCAGGTGTATGCATATGAATCTTCTACCATCACTCCGAGTCCTGCGAGTCCGAATCCATACAGATCTCTCTGGCAAACGAGCCAGCACCGGATCCGAGTCTACTCTGACTTAGAGACCAATCGCTCCAAGAGCTCTTCGATCCGCTGCTGCCTCCGCTCAATGCCATCCAGCCTCCTGTCCATAGGCATTTTGCCTTCCTCCTGTTCCTCTTCCGCCGTCTCCAGCGGCTCATGCGAGTGAGTTTGCCCGTGCACCGACCGAGCATCTCTGTCCCTATCTCCCGAACTCCGTACGTCCCGCGTCTCCGGGCTCGACGACAGCGCCTGCCCTGTGATCCCCAGCCTTGCTCCTGGGCTCGTTACCGTCGGCGCACCAGGGAGCTTCCTCGCGCCCAAGCCCTGCCCCGAACCAGCGTGTCCCGAGAATAGAACACCCCCGAATGGATCCGTGTGTCCCGTTTGCCCCACTGCTGTCGGCCTCCTCTGCATGGACGACAGCCTGCGCCTCGACGCAGGCCCATAGCTCACCTGCGCGCCACCGTCCTGCGCTGGCTGCTCAGCCTCGTTCTCCTGATCCATGATGAGCGGCTGGAAGACCTGTGCGAGCGGGCTCGCGAGGCTCTGTACGTTGTCGAGCCCGCGGGTGACGATCGAGTTGAGGCGGTTCCGCGGGAGCGGGATGGACGAGGGTCCGCTCATGGGGCGCTCACTTTTCGTGGAAAGCGACATGGCAGAGCGCGGAGGGGTGCTAGTCTGCGAGTGGGATTGCGAGACGCGCCGTCGGGATGCGCGGGAGGCTTGGGAGGGACGGCGGTGCTGGAGGATGTCAGCGGGGGCGGTCTGGTCGGCGTCTTCCATGTCGAGAGCGCTATTCTCGTAGAAATCTCCGATTTCGAAGATCTGCGAGGGAACGTGAGATGCTTGGATGAAGGATATGGATGCTTTCTGCACATACCGCGTCGATATCTGCGTCAGGGCCACTGAGTCCCTCAAAGAACGCTTGGGTACATGTCAGCGAGGCTCGTTTGACTAATGCACGTTGATACTCACTCATGCGTTTGATGGACCGAGGCAATGTGTCAAAGACCTTGTCTGCCGCCTTTGACATCGTCTCGCTGAAAGTGAACGTCCCCGTCTGCTTGGCTTGTCTCTCGTACCACGCAATGAGAAGCAAGACAGGGAAGCTCGTTAATCTGTCAGGCAAGCGTCAGCAAAGCCACTCCAGAGCGCGGTCTGACAATGTATACCTAATCATGAAGACGTTGACCTAGACGACAACGATTAGTATGCGGAAGCAACCAGTTGGTAGTCGTGATAGGATACCTTATGAAACCATCTCGGAGTCAGGATGTAACTCGCTGGCAGCATAACACAGAGGGCGACTAAATTGATAGGTGGTTGATATGAAAAGAGCGAGTCGGCCTTCACTCTAGCGAAGAAGTCAGCGCGAGCGATGAAGCGCAGACATAGGTGCCTACCCCTCTATGGTGAGGACAGCACGGCGGAACATAGCCTGTATACTATTAGTAGGCCAAACGGAATGGGTCAAGTATCATACCTCCGCGGTAGCATCATCAGCAATGGTTGCAAATGTATTAGAAAGGATCTAAACCCAATGCGTGCTTCAACAAAAGCACGAGAAAAGCATGTTGCAAAGTACGTACAGACACAAGGACTACAGGACATGGTGGTTAGTGCACTAGACAAGGACGAAAGGCAACGGCTTACTTGTCAGCAGAAGCGTGTTACTGAGGCACGCATATGCGACCATCATTACAGGGCCGAAAACGGGATGGAACTTAGCTGAAAGTTAGGTAAGCTTTGAATATCAAATCTAGAAGCGTTAGGGCATACGCACATGCGTTGTCGAAGCCACTGGCGTCGAGACCAAACCATAGATCTAGCATCCACCAAGCAATCTGCCTGCACATGATAGGGATCAATTATCGCATTGGTCCAGTAGATTGAGAGTATTCACTCACCCAGCAGTGTAACTGAATGATACTAAGTCAGAACAAATGCAAACAGGAGTTAGAGGCACTTACCCAGCCTGGTTCCTACTAAGACTGTACATATAATAGTGCTCAATGAGAGGGCCGTACGTATCAAATGCAGTGGTACGTACGTCCAGAGGGCATACAAGAAGCCACCGAAGCAAAACGCAGCGATGGCCATCAGGATGACGAATTGCATTATCATGGCACGCAGGGAGAGCACCATGACATTATCTTTCAGTGTCACAAACGCCAGCCTAGGACCGCAATCAGTCAAGTACACTCGTAGACCAGACAACAAATACCTCGGAAACATCAGTACAGCGATTATGGCCAAGAAATCTATCCCTGCGAGCGACGCCCATTTGTCTGGACAACAATGACAAGCGACGTGTGAGTGTCCTGTGTCAGAACAGCTGAAAATTTATCGGGCGTACTATGATTGTAGACGCCTACACATCTCAGGATGGCATATGTGCAGTATAGTGTCACTGCCGGCGTCACTCAGTACAGGCATCACAGCAGAGAACAATCCGAGCTACGTACCAAACGCCAGATCGAAGCCATTCTGACTCGATAGTCAATAGCGAACTCGTTGAGGAGAGACAAGCAAGCTGGCGCACCCAGGTTCCCTTGAAGTACACTTTGCACTGTCATGAGCGATATTACCGCCAGTTGCATTTCCGGACGCACCTTTGATCCCGTGCTCTTGCATTGCTGCAATCTTCTCGAGCGTGAAACCAAGCGCGTATATGATGAATATACCCTCGGCGGCGTTTATGCGATTTCGCTCATTGAACTCCAGGGCGACGACGAATAGGATGAACAGAATGAGGAAGCTTTATATGTGAAGCTCAATCAGTATTGAATGCATGTGCGGCGAAATGACTAGCTGACTTCGTGAATTCTAGAACTGAGCGGATTGCCGGGACTTTCAGACTGATAGTGTCTCAGCATAGCATCTCGTAGCCTCTGCTGAGATCATTTACCGGTAGTGGTCAAGCAGTGGTGCTTTGTGAGGGTCGTAGAAGTGTATTGGTGTACGCTTGTACGTCTACGGGAATACTCAGTCACGGGAACCAAATGTATCAGCGATACCCTCACATCGGACAAGATGGAACGACTGCTGTCCGCCTGGTACACGATCTTTCCGCTGTAATCATTTTGAGCACAAGTAAGCCCAACGAATGGCAGCACTCACCTCCATATTCCGTCAATGACCTTTTGGCATGCTGAGCTATTTGTAAACCGCTTCGCCTGACCCAGAATCGCCATCTCAATGGCGTTCCCGATCCTCTCCTCCAGATCGCCGTCCCGTTCCTCCCTTGCGCGTTCGATCAGCTCTGCCGGCGCACCTGAATACACCGGCCAGCTGGTTGCTATTGCCAGCGCGAGCTCCAGCATGTTGTCTGCGTGCAAACGCAGAGCGCGAATGGCTAGAAGCTCGCAGAGCAACGCACGTGTGCGAGATAGCGCAGCGGTCATAAGGTGGTCGTCCCGCCGGAAGTAGACGCAGTTCACGAGCAGGCAGAAGACGATGGAGAGGTTGCCTGCTCGTTGGTACCCATTGTATTTCTCTTCGAGCGGGCGTACGAGGGTGTACGTCAGATCTGGTGCTGTGAGCTGAAGCGGAACACATTAGCTCCGAGGACGCAAATCGAACAAGGAGCGAGCTCGCTATTGTAGTCTGAGCGACAGGGGAGCTGCGCACTGGCGTTGACGGAGCGCTATACTCAGTACTGCTGCGTCGACGAAACTCCGAAGAGCCGTCTGCTAGCAACAGTACGTTATGTGGTAGCAGCTACGCCGAATGTCGTTAACAATAGCTAGCGGTTTACCTTCCCATATATACCAGAAGGGCTGATACAAAACATACTGCACGGAGCTGATATACTCACCGCATCATACGTAAGGGGTGTATCTACATACATCCGGGATTCCATGTGTCAGTACGCAAACATCGTAGCAACCAGCCGGAGCTCACCAATATAGTGCTATCAGGATAAAAGTCCTCCATGTCAGCAATCACGCTGAAGTCAACCCTCAATTGTGCTCACCGCGACATCCTATATTGAGGCAATGGTAAGGTCGGTTATGGTGGTCACTTGCGGAGCAGGTGCACGTACCGAGCGAACCATCAGAATGATGGGATATACCTCAGTAGCATCTACACTCTGTGCACGCAGCAGAGGCTGGCGTTCAGCTGCGCCTCAGCCATTGGCAGTGGCGGGGCTCCAAGCCGGAGGTGGAGACGTGTATGATACGGAGCTACGTTCTTCCAACGTGTTTCGTGGATGCCGCAACAAGCTTTGGAAGTGTAGGAGCTGGGGAGAGCAAGCCAACGAGGGCTTGAGGCCGAGGTCTCAGGCAAGGTGTTGAATAGTTGATCGTCACTCGGTAGCCACAACCGGGAGCAGCACGACGCCACCGGGTGCCGCGGTCACGTGTACGCGTTCATTACGCGGCGCGACTTCCTTACATAGCCTTACATACTTTCAGCGTTATTAGTTCACGCGTTCTGAGCTGTTCTCCCTTTGCAATTCATCTACGGATAGGCCCGTACGTCGCAAAAGTTAAAGGCTGATGTTCTCCTCAAAGCATAACTCAGCCCGCTGGTACCAGGCATCTACATCCTTGCTTGTTCTCACTTCATCCGCAGTACGCAGCAACCATTAGATTGTAGACAGTAGATACTTTGTTGAGAGCCGCGCATCGCAAGACGGCAGCATCTCTTCAGAACCCCAAGCCCTAGTAAATACCGGGGATGAATTTGGACTTGACCACGGAGCAGTAGCGCTCCCAGTCTTTTCCGTACTTCATCGCGCACCTGATAACACCATTGTCAGACAAACGGAGTCGAAGTCGATGGGCAGTGCACGTACCTCTCGAAGTCGCGTCCGCAACGATGGATGAGGACGACAATGAAGAACACGGAGTAGAAGTACGGGATAGGCGAGGCCGTGCCGATGACGAGACCCCAGGTCAGGCTCATGACCCAGTCCGCGACGTAGTTCTGAGTTGGCTGACCGTGAGCTATTGCGCTTCGAGAATGCAGCAGGCACTTACCGGCTTCCGGGAGTATCTCCACCATCCATCGGTAAGAAGGCGATTACTGGGCACCGTCAGTCAGAGAGCCTAACTGTGATTGAAAAGCTCCTTACCCGTGTGCTGTCTGGATGTAACTGGGGTTCTTGACGGTTCCCCATGGGAGCTGTGGGAATGTCTTGCGGAACGACGTGATGCCTTGAGTCTGTAATTTGAAGCGACTCTTTTGGGACATTGCAGTGTCCCATCTGTGGGCGACATGAGGATGTGCGCAACGAAACAAGGCGTGAGTGAACCTACATGTAATATGCCGTGAGGAGCGTAGTGTAGAGGAAGATGTAACCTGACGTCGAGAAGCGGTACTTTGAGGGGTCGTGGCTGGCCATGTAGACAACCGAGTAGATGTACGACTGGAAAGGGTGTCAGAATTGAGTAAGCAGCGGGTTGCTTGGAGAACTCACGAAGGGAACACCGGCGAAGTTCCAGAAGATGACGAGGAAGCCCCACTTCTCATGGAACATGTCCCACGTTTGGGGAATGAGTTCTTCACCCTTGCCGCTGAACGTCTGTGAGTAGCCATTCACAGAGATAGAGAAGCGATGTGCTCACCATGCGTTCAGGTAAAGCCACGTCGCGAGGCACATGAACGCCATGTTCTAGAGATCACATGTGAGCGAATAGGGGCTGGGCTCAGACTGCGAGAGGTGACATACGGGGGTAACGTAGCCATACTGTTCGTATTGCTTGCACGCACCAGAGACAGACATAAAGAAGACGATGACCCAGGGAATACGGACCTCAAGCCACATCTTGAGGTCGACGGGGCCAATACGAGGGTTGAGACACGCTCCCATGAAGACGTCGTAGATGAAGTTTCGGACATGCGATGCTGTTTACCGGTCGCGACGGTGAGGAAGTACATGCCGAAGGAGACACCGAAGCCGTAAATCATAGCGACGGTCATGAGGTGCCCAAAGTTGTCAATTATTTCGGTCATGCGGAAGATGCCTGTGGTGTGCAGAACGGCGGCGGTGATCATGGAAATGTAGATGGAGCCGTAGGCATTGCATTTGTACATGAGCGTCTTGTATCCTAGAGATGGGACGGGCAAGCCTTCTTGCATGTAACCAGGAACGACAGATGCAAGGAACAGTTGGTATGTGATGAGACCGGTGTAGACCTTCCACGCGTAGACGTTAGGACTGGCATCCTGCAGACGTATGTGAGCTGGCAGGAAGAGAACGGATAAAAGGCAACCACTCACAACGCGAACATGCTCCCACATGCGCCAGAGGAAAGGCTTGATGTCGTCGGTGGACGTAGGGTGCTCCAGCTGGCCGTCGTAGAAGACGAGGCAGATCCAGAGGTAATACATGAGGATGGGGAACCCCGTCATGATCGCGACCACACCCCATGGGCCGCCAAATTCATACCTACAAAAAACATGTCAGCCAGGTGTGTCTGCCGTCTTCCCGGACACTTACTCGACGTGGCTGTCAAGTAACTGGTCCTTCTTCCTGCCCTCGTCGGTGGGTGTCCAACCATTGCCGTTTCCGTTTCCGTTGTCGCGACATTCCTCTGGCGGAGGCCGTCGGCCTGATTTGCTTCGACAGCAGACATGGTGGGAGACAGAGAAGGCGAGCCGGCCGAGCTGCTGTCCCGAAGTATCGCACGACTCTCGACCGAAATTCACTGCCATAATTCAGGACGCGCCCTGGCTTCAAGGTCATGTGACCGACTTTGTCTTTGCGTCTCCGCTCCAATGCTTACGGCAGCTGCCGGGCGAGGGAGTTGGTCGCCGGACACGTCTGTGCGCCAAAACGACCGCTCTCCTCCCGACCACATCCTGCCTCCGTCCCTCGCCCTCCACCTGCGACACACTCTGTATTATTTAGCACTGCCGTTAATCCATAGCGAGTCTGTCGAATGGCATCATCCGTGTTCTACAAGTTCAAGTCTCAGAGGGACGAGTCCAGGGTGACCTTCGATGGCACCGGCATCTCTGTGTTCGATCTCAAAAGAGAGATCATCTTAGCCAACAACCTCGCGAAAGCGAACGATTTTGACCTCGTCATCTGCGACAACTCGTCAGGAGAAGGTACGGCCAGAACTTGTGTGTTCTCTCCTCTGATGCTCACAGGTCCAGCAGAATTCAAGGATGATTCACACGTCATACCGCGTTCGTCTTCTGTTCTGGTAAAGCGAGTCTTTGTCCGTCCGGGCAAGGGTAAGGCCGCTATGTATGTTGGGAGCGTTACCCACAATGCATCTACCCCGATTCTTCGTCTCGGACCAGTGGAGGTCCCAGCAGCTCCAACGCCTGGTCCAGAGCAGGTAACATCTCGAGACGCTTCGACGGCAAGGTCGAAGAAAAGCCAGTCCAGGTTACTCCTAAAGCGCCTGCTCCGGTACGTTGTTCTGGATATGTTCCTGCTGCCCGATGCGACTAATTCCGCAGGCTATCACCGTTAAATCCGCCGTCACGAAAGAGGAAGAGGCGGCCGCCATGGCGGCTATGTTTCAAGCACAAACACAGAACTGGGAGGAGACCCAGGAAAAGATGTCTCAGTTGGTGTCGCGCTTATGCGGTTTCCTCGTTTGTGTAGTAGATGATTCTAATGGACGCGACATTTCTCTGGTGCACTTTCTTTGTGTCTGCACCAACTTTACAGTGCTGTTCGTATCCATAGTACCCCGCGCGGCGGCATGGCGCGAGGAGGAAAGCCATTTCATCATCACCAGCCTGACAGGCCGCTTCCCCCAAGTTATGTTTGTTATCGCTGCGGACAGAAAGGTTTGCAGAATCTCGTTTTGGGGCTAAGGCCGCATTCTTATGTTCTGGCAAGGTCACTGGATTCAAGACTGTCCGACCAACAACGACCGTGAATATGACAACAGGCCACGGATCAAGCGCACGACTGGTATCCTCGGAGTTTCCTCAAGGCTGTTGAGTCGCCCAATGGCCAGATCGGCCAAGGAGTCATGGTCACTCCTGAAGGTGGTTACGTCGTAGCGCAGCCCGACGTGTGAGAGGTTTACTTCATGTAATTGATGACAACGTCTGACCATTCCCTTCAGTGTATCATGGCAGAAGCAGGTCGCCAAACACAAGCCTGGCTTTACGGAAGCGGATATTCGGGAGCGTACTCCGTCAGACCCTTCTCTTGTATGTCCCATAGACAACAAGCTTTTCCGCGATGCTGTGAAGACGCCGTGCTGCGGTACGCTGTACTGCGAGGAGTGTATCCAGACTTACCTGCTCGAGCGCGACTTCATCTGCCCGAAGTGCAGCGCTAAGATTGCATCGCTCGACAAGCTCATCATGGACAAGCCGATGCGCACGAAGGTCGCGGACTACGTCGATAAGGAGATCGAGAAGAGCCGACATGAGCCTCAAGAAGACTCGAAGAGTAATGGAACGCCGGAGCCCGCCAGCAAGGTTCGTCAAACTATCGCATCTCCGTTCTTCATATTCTCACCACACTATGAATCAGGAGAAGTTTCAAATACAAGACCAGTCGGACGGTGCCGCCTTCGACCAAGAGTACTACTCCGACCAGCAACCAGGCGGCGACATGGACATGTCCCACATCTTTGCCGAGACGATCCCCCAGCTGCAAGCGCAAATCTCGCAAATTCAGATCATGCTCAACAACCCGTCGCTTCCGCCACCGGTCCGGCAGCAGACGCAGATGAAGCACCAGCAGCTGCAGATGGAGCTCCAGCAGGCGCAGGTCGCAGCCGCGATGGCGGCGACGCTTCAGGCGGCGAGCAGCTCTGCCGCGGCGATGCCTTTCAATGGCATGCAGCCCGGGTATCACCAGCAGGACTTTCGCCAGCAGTGGACCAACCCGTTCCCGAACCAACAGCCTGCGAGCCAGGACTCGGCGTACCAGCGGCTGCCGCTGAATAACAGGCGGAGGAACCATTTGAAGAGGGAGCGGCCATCGGATTTCTTGGAGGTGGCGGGCAACGAGCCCGAGGCAAAGATGCCCAGGTACTGGGAGTGAAGTGGGATGACTTGCGTATGGGGAGGCAGGAGGGAGATTGACGTTAGCATCAGAGAGCGGCGGACATTCAGACATCATGCACAACACATCGCACATATTCGCATGCACACCACGCCATTTACATGTACACTCCGCTTTGCAGCATAATAGAAATGCATCGTTCCGCATCAACCAGTCCGGTGTGACAGTATGATATTATCATGGTTTACATGACAGCTGCAAGGTTCAAATTCAAAGCCAACAGCACTAAGCGCTATGATACAGGAGCGACGACCGCGTCCGTATTCCTCCGTTGGCCTGCCGGAACAGCGACCTTCAACATTCTTTGCTGGTAGTTCTCCCATGTGGAGATGAGCTGCATAATACTGTGAGACAGGTCTACTCCGCGTGTGCGAAGAACGACGCACCTCCTTCTGTCGTGCGATCATCCCGTCCAAGAAGGCCTCGAGCGAGTTCTTGAAATCCTCGATGCGCTCCTGCTCAAAGCGCGCCACCTCTGTCTTGACGAGCCTCGACGTCTGGTCGAACTCCGTCTTCGCGTCCAGAGCTCGCCGCTCCGCCTAGACGGGGCCATAGTCAGTTTTGCCGAGAGGACGAAGGAAGGAAGGAAGTTTACATCTGCGACCATGGACAGCGAACGACTGAGCTGATCTGAGGGCAGTCGGCCCTGTGCGCGCTGCGACTCGTGCCTCTGCTTCGTGCTCCTGAGGTGGGCGTCCGCTGTCTGCCACTGGTGGTATGTCCGGATGCGCGAGCTGAAGGCCATCTGGAGAGGTATTAGGCTACCGCCATACAATCTGCAAGACGCGACACCTACCCGGACAGAGTTGATCAATCGCGCGTATTCGTCCACTGTTGCCGCGTGTCAGTGCTCAGAACCACGACTAGGTTTGTTGGATATCTTGTACCTGTAGACATGATAGTGACCATGTCGTCCTGAGACTGTACTGTATGCAGATCTTGCGCCTTCCGCTCGACGTCTGCCAGTCCCGTGAAGGAGGTAGACAACTGGGGCCCAATGTCCGACGAGGCTAGGTCTGTGATCGTCTGCGCGAACTCGCCCGTGGCGAGCGCGACCTCGGAGCGGTGTTTAGCCACCATGTCGATGGCCTTCACTAGGCCGCGCAGTTGCGACTCGAGGCTGTCAAGGTAGGCCTTTTGCCGGTCGAACCACTGCGAAACGGAGTGAGCCCGTCGTAAGACAAGCTCGGGTATGGGGCTGGGCATACCTCATCTGTCTCGTAGAACCTCGGCCCTGCGATAGACTGGCCAAGGGACGCCATGAAGCCCTTCTCCTGACCAAGCTCCGCCTTCCGATGCTTGACCTGCAGTACATACATTTCAGTTCACGGTCCATCGTCCGTCGCGCACAGCCTACTCACGTCCAACGAAAAGGTGTCGCTCTCGAGGAACATCCGCAGGTCGGCGTCCTTCTGGAGCACGGGGTGGTTGGCGATCTTCTGCATGCACTTTTCGAGCGCGAGCCGGCGCTGCTCGACGAAGCCCTGGTCGAAGCGGCGGTACGGGTTCTTCTCGGGCACGGGCGGGACGACGACGCCGGGGTTGTTCTGCGAGAGCGTCTCGTAGAGCCAGAGGAAGTCGGAGTAGCGCCGCAGGACGGAGAAAGAGGACTTGCTGAAGAGGGGGGAGGTAGTCTGCGACGTGCGTTAGGAACGGTGGGGAGGACAGAAGGAGAGCAGGTGACGGACTTTCGTGTGCACGGTGTACATGGTGTACGCACGGATGGGGTCGCCGACCTTTTGAGGGTCGTCGACGGTGATAACGAAGGCTGGAGGCAGGCCGTTCTCCGTCCTCTGCGCGGCGGGTCTTGACTACAGAGTGTATGTATCAGTGCAGAGCGGACTGAATGGAAGGACAGAGACACACCGCCTGTGCGGGCGGTATCCGGTTCGCCAGCCTCGCGGACTGCAGGATGGGTCGGTCGTCATCAGACGAGTCTGAGTCACTGCGACTTCTCTGCGAGTGCGAGGGTCCGGTGATAGACTGGGGCGAGGTAGGATACGTGTTTGCCTCGTTCTGCCATCCATTGAAGGCTTCGCCGCTCATAGAGAGCCCGGCAAGAGACGAGTCAATGCCAGCGGTGGAAGTCTGACCAAGAGGAGAGTGATATGTGGGTTCAGCGCGGAAGGTAGATGCATTGGACGGACGAGACGCGTGTCCGACGAAGGAGCCGTACGTCGCGGGTGCGGTAGCGGGAGGTGTAGGCGACTCTGGTACCTCTGGCTGCGCAGGTGGTGGTGAGGGCTCCCGCAAAGGTTTGTCGTCTGCCGGCTGAGTGAGCTCGTCAATGGAGAGGGGGACGCTCTCCCGGAACCCAGGAGACGCGAGCGCAGGAGGGGTGGGCGTGTGCGACTCGACCTCAGCCTCATCTGCGGTAGGTGTCTGCGGCCCCGTTTCCTCCGAGTGTTGAGCAGAATAGTGGTCGTCGTAAACATTCGCGTCGGACGCGCTATATTGGAAGCCGGCGGAATCGGTGAAGCCAGGAGACTCTAGGGTCGGGGTGGTGCTGCGCGTACCGAGGAAAACGGCGTGCTCGTCATCGCGTACGACGGAGGGCTGGCCGTAACTGGCCCAGGGATCCGGAGAAGCGGAGCGGGCATCGGCGAAGGGGTTGTCGAGGACGTCGCCAGAGCGGGAGAGGAGGTCGTCGAAGCCGTCCATGGCAGGGAGCGGGGCGGGAGGCGGGCGTGTCTCGCGTACTGGCGGTGGCAGCTGTTTGGACTTGTCGTCCAAAGCCTTCGTTCCTCGATCGCCTAAGTAGGCGCTGCCTCCCGCCAGATCTCATCCCACTCCGGTGAAATGGCAAAGCGCCAATTTGGAGCCAGTGTGGACAAATGTTCGTCTCATCATGAGTATCGTCATGGGCAGGCCGGGTACGGTCCTCCATACTGCAAATCCCTGTGCGTGCACATTAAATATAATGTATCATTGATAATTGGTTTACTATGTACAATTTGGAAGGAGACAGTACTCCAGACCACTGAGAATAATATATGGCAGATTCTGTCCGACTGTCCGATGGCTATGTATATACCGTCTTTCTCCACTGGAAAGATCACAGACGTTGTATCATCGAGAAGCCACCCGCGCGAGGGCATAATGCGGACGATTGATGGTCGGCGAGTTCGCTCTCCCACTGTTTATGAAGATTTGAGGAACCGTTTACGCAGATACTCGACCGTGACTATATTGCTGCCTGAACAACCGGTAATTAGGCTACCCAGTACAGCATGAGTTAACATAAGTATGTGATTCGCGTAGCGTGTGGGGCTTACCTCTGCCGCGTACGACATACGTGTTAAGAGCACAACTCGACGTTGACCCCACTCGTCGGCCCAAGGCCAGCTCGCCGAAGGTTGGCCCACCGTTTGGACCGCAGGTGGACCATCCTCCGTGTCTGATCCTGCCGAACCTAAACCGGTGCCGTCATCAACTAGCCAGAAATCTTGCAATGCCACTAGACGGGACTAGAAACAAGCTGTTCAGGACAAATAAAAACGTTGGAACTCGGCACTACGGGTTTACCCACTCTCTGGCTTGCTCGGACATCGATACGCCACGGCCGTATTGCTCGCAGTCCATGAATGAATCCCTGGGCCGTGGCTCAGCGCGTAGCACTTCGCACTTGCACGGAGAGCACCCGGAGAATGTCTCGAAAGCTGCCAATTGCGGAGCAGGTGCGAGTAGACCAAGGGTCACGTCGATGAACTGCCCATCGGTGTGTGCAGTGGTACAGAAATGACATACGTGGTGGACGTGCGCGGGCGGCACTAGAGCTTTCGTGTGGACATCCGCGGTGATCATGTCTCTGTGAGCATTGTCTGCTCCGGGCTGGACAGGTGCTATCGCACGATCAGACCGATCAGGCCACACGAGCGACGCCCGAGCAGTGGCAGATGGATGTTACGCCCCTATGTGGGCCGGGCGATGTCGGTGGGCGCGGACGTCTGGACGCAAATCGGTCAGCGCTCGTCGCAGCATGGATGGTCTGGAGTGACAGAGGATATGATATGGCTCACCGAGGGAGGAGGGCCGCTCCTAAGCTTCCCGGCAGCAGTCTGTCGAGGTCGCTCCCGCCACTATTCGACACAGTCGACGGCGGCACGCCACGCCCAGTGCGCGCCATATATGCGTGCTGGAAGGGGAGGCGACCTGCAGGCACCGAACATGAAGCACATCAGCCTGCACGTCCCGTCCACTCCTTCGCATTCTCCCTCCAAGGCCAAGTCGAAGTCGGTGTCGCCTGCGCCCGCCGACATTGCGCTGCTGCCTGTTCCCGCTGCGGGGATGCAGGTCAAGCTCAAGGGCGTGCGCGCCTTCGCCCGGCGCCTCCGCGGTACGATCCAGATCGTCGCCCGATCCAGACATCATCAGTCCCCGGCCCTTGCCGCCCTCGTCCCCGCTCCGCCACCGTCCCCAGCGGCAGCGACGGACCTGTTCGCGTCCTTCGTCCCTCCCGTCGCCGTCGCCGTCGACCTCGACCTCTCCCCCAAGCACAGCTACGACTCCCTCGCCTCCTCCTCTGCCCCCAGCAGCGGCTGCCGTCCTGCAGGTCGCTGCCCCTCGTACTCGTTCTCGAGCGCGCCGTCCTCCGTCTTCGCCACCGCGGCAGACCACTCATCCTCGCTCGACGTGTCCCTGAACGCGCAGAGCATGTCTGGCAGTCAGTCTCTGAGCGCGCAGAGCATCGCGGGCGACGCGTCCTCGTACGCATCTGCGGTGCCGGAGGGTCACTCCGTTGAGCTCTCCGAGCCCTCGCAAGGCTCTCTCCGCGCTGATGACACGTCCGCCCCTGGGACCTCTGAGTTTCTCGTGGAAGGATCAGAGTCTGAGTCTGAGGAGGACGAAGACGAAGAGGTGTCCCAGCAAGCAGATGCTTCCGATGCAGACGCCTCTGCTCTACGTGACGAAGAACGCTCGTCCACGCTAGACGATCCCCAGTTCGGTGCGTCAGAACATAACAGCAACTCTCAGGACTTGGCAGCAAGTCCAGCCGCGCAGGACTCAGCAGAGACGAACGCACCCGATCCATTCTTCGAGGACGATCCGGAGGATCCTCCCGCTGCACCCGAGGCACCCCTCGAGCAGCCGGCACAAGAACGCCCACTAGCAGGACTGTCCGTCGACTACACTGCACAGTCACTCGCCGCCGCAGACGAAGTCACGCTCGCGCAGTCGCCTCCACCATGGCCTGTCGCAGTACCCAACACCGCTGTCGACTTCAATAAGGCCGTCCCACCACCGCCACGAGCGGACGCTGACGACGACGAAGACGAAGAAGACACGCCCGAACTATACCTTCCCGGGCTCGTCCTCCCCGCAATGTTCCTCCCCATCCCCAACGTAGGCTCCTTTCGTTTTGATCTCCTCACCTGGTGGCTGCCCGGGCGTCATGTTTACTATCCCTGTACGATTAGACAGACCCATTGACTACGCTGCTGATCAAATTCATCTCGCCTGAGAACCGCCCCCACCGCGACCTGAGCGGCAACTGGCAAGGCGCCGACTTCAACATGCTCGTCGTGAGTCTGAGTCGCGCGTGAGCTCTGAGACCCGGTAGTGACGCGTGAGGGACCCCTACACAGATGACGAACAGCTGGCGGGCAATCGCGAAGATGGCGCGCGACCGCCTCGTCGAGACAGACCCGGAAGACCTCGACCTGGTCCTCTCAGTGAGTCGCGCCCGCCCGCCCGCCGCTCTGGTGCCCGCTGACCCGTGCGCCCGCCTCGCCCCCGGCAGCTCTGGTACCTCCGCCTCTCGTGCCTCGCGCGCCTCCGGCTGTTCAACCAGACCGCGGCGGAGTGCACGAACCTGTACGCGGTGCTGAACGGCGTCGAGCCCGCGTCGGCGCGCGATTGGTTGTTCGAGAAGAAGGTCCCGTTCGAGCTCGAGGTGCTCCACGCGCGGCTGAAGTACTGGACGGGCGACCATATGGGTTACCTGGACGCGCTCGCGGGTTTGCTCGGGGAGTGCAAGATGCGGGCGCGCGCGGCGGACGCGAAGACCGACTTGATGGGCGCGGGGATGTGGCAGGAGCGCGGGGCACGCGTCTGCCTCATCATCGCGTCGCAGCTCATTGAGATGAAGGTGTGTATGTTGAGGGCGAGATGCTGTCCCCAATTGCTGACCCTCGCGTGTGACGGGCTATGGGTAGGACTTCGCAGCTGCTGCGAAGCTGCTCGAGCCGCTGTGCAGGCAGCCTGGCGGGCTCACCTCGCCGCAACTCCAATCCGCGGTCGGACGGATATATGTGCAGGGCGGGGACGTCCGCACGGCGACGAAGCACTTCGCGGCGGTGTGGAACGACCCGACTGCCGAGCCGTCGCTGAAGCACATGAACGCCGCCGTGCTCGCTGCTGCCGACGGGGACTGGCCGAAGGCTATTGAGGAGCTCAGGAAGATGCTGGATGAGGACCCGGAGAATTTCGTTGTGCGTCTTGGCGGGTGCTGGAGATGATGTTCGTGTGCGCTGACTGGAGCTGAAGGCGATCAACAATCTGTCGGTTGTTTTCCTCAGTCAAGGGAGGATACAGGAGGTGCGCGTACGCGAATACCCGTGTGAATGCAGCAGACATGACGTGCATCTCACAGGGCATCCGAGTATTGGAGGAAGCTATCAAACTCTCCCCGTCTACAACGCTCGCTGCGGAACCGCTGCTGTTCAACCTCTGTAAGCCCTCCGTTCAGCCTGTGGCCCACGCGGCTGACGGCGTCATACAGCGACGATGTACGAGCTGCGCTCTGCGGCAGGAGCGGACAAGAAGCGGAACTTGCTCGTCGAAGTTGCGAAGTGGGCGGGAGACGGTCTGCGCACGACATGCTTGAAGATGCCGAGCAGCTAGGTTCTGCGCGACCATGGACTGATTTATGTATGGTTGTCTGGTATCAATGTAGAGGTGATGTACGCCTCCGTTCTCTGTGCTCGTCGTCCAGTGCGTTCCCGGAAGGAATGTATAGGACTCCCACTGCCGCGTCCGCCGTGCGCGAGCTGGCCTCGTTGTCCTGCACAAACTAGTATCTAGTTTCCGACCATGACATGTGTCCTCGTGAACGATATTGCGGTCTGCCTGCCAGACGTGTATACTTCACGCGTGGAGGCGATGGGGACCCCTTCGCCACCCGGGCGACTCCTCCGAGTCTTCGCTGATGACATAGCGTGCGTGGTGAGACAGGTATGCTGTTGCCGTGTTGACGTAGAATGATGCATCTTATGCTTGTGCGAGCATATGGACCTGACAGTCAAACTACCAAAAGAAATTTCAGAGTGAGTTCTGTCTGTTAGTGTGCATAAATATGATTATGTATGCTTACATGGGCTATATAGGCTCAGGGTCCTATGGATGGTGAGAGGCTGCATCATAGAATCCTGCTTGCACTAGCATGTCCTAGCCAAGGCAGTGAATGATGAGGTCAGTTGCAGTGTATCTGTTTGAATGGCAGTAATATGAGGCTCTCTCAAGTCTTATCCACAGACTATCAGAGGCATTCTATCATGAACTGCATGATAGATAACAGAAGCCACATGTATGTGTGAGAACAAGCGGAATGGCGGTCGACGAGTGCGAGTGTTCCGGGCGCGGACGATGCCCGAAGGGCAATCACGTGAGGTAAATACACAAAAAACAACGGTATATATACCCCCTCCCCCTCTTATCATCGGCCAGGTACTATCGCGGCCGAGCTTGCGAGCTCGTCCCTGACCGTATGTTCCAACAGTATGTGTCACAATGTTAACATAGTATATATGTTGTACAGGTATCACCACTTTCATCATGGGACTGCTGCAATCAAGAATGGCCAGGTTACATAATGAGAAAGCAAGAGCACTAGTAAATATAAGGGTGGATGAACACAATGGAGGAAAACTTATAAAGGTACATATAGGGCTTTGGTCAGGCTGATGTACCATGAGCTAGGGCCATAGATCCACAGATACAAGTTCAAGGCAAAAATAGGGCATCAAGGAAGCACAAGATGACAAAGTAAGCAAATAAAAATGACAGATCAAGAAAAGCAACAGCAGTGAGTTGAGGATCATGGGCAGGAATGGCTGAGGATGCATATATGGTGCCCAATCCCTAACATCAGAAACACTTGCATTTGATATGTGATGCACTGTGCACAGGACAGAGGTTACCTGAAAGCCACTCTGGGTTCTCTGAGATGACAGCTGTTTCCAAAATGATAGGCCCCTCATCAAAAATGCGTACACGGGCGGAGAGCGTCAGATCTTGCCTTTGAGGTGATCCGCACCATCTGCTGGTCGACCTCAGCCACCCGCCGTAGTCTGGCTCGCCCTCGATGTGCTGGTTATGGGCCAATCTTGATGGGAACTGGGGAACCGACACACTCCGCCTGAGTGGTTTTTTTTGATGTGGGGCCTATCGTTTTGGAAACAGCTGGAATTCTTCTCTTCCATAATACACAACATCAAGCACAAGGACCACAATTCCACAAGCTAACCATGGAGCAAAAAGAGGCACCATAGAGGATTTTATAAGTGATTGGTGTTCCCCTCACATACATGGAACCTGAAAAATCAGCTCCACATAGAGTTCATGGCAGCTGTGCTGGCTGGTCAACACATGTTGATGGGAGAGTATAGCATTGAACAAAGCAATGTCATGGGCTGTGACAGCATCAATGTCAGGGACTATCCCTTGTGTCTCAAATTTCAGAAAAATGCTTGTCAGATATGGGCTGTTGAGCTGCAAGAATAGCTCCAGGAGAACCACACAGACCCATGACATGCTCAATGATGAGGACTTCATATCAAATGTGAAGAGAAACTTTTCCAGTCTGGTGTTGTTTGCAACTAGTGGAAGTGGTGAGAAAGCAGTCTGTATGTGCAAATCAGAACAACATTGACACATCAAAATGCATAAGACCCACCTGAAGATGTGCAGGTATCTTACATTCCCAACAAACATATGCCAATCCCATCCCTGCCTCTTGTAGAATTTTGCTAAGAGCCAGTAGAAATGCAGGGGATGGGGGTTCATTGATATAGACAATCAGACTGCTTAATCTGTTACTTGAGCACCAATCTGTACATGAGTCCAAAAGTTCAGAAGCAAATGACAGAGATGTTCCCTCAATGGATATGCCATAACCTTCAAATTCACAACCAAATCCATGGGTCTCACCTGATGTACATATGTGTTCAAGAGCAGGTAGTGCACATATGTATGATGAAAGCTGTGAGATTGGAAATCCTACTGTCTTGAGGTCACTCTCCAAAAATGTTAGTGTGGTCACAGCTGTGCACAACAAACTCACCGGCAGGACATCAAGCACATTTGAATAATGGTCATGTAAATCACCAATTGCCAAGAGATCATGGCTTGATTGCAAGGCCCCCAAAGAGAGATAAGCCAGCTTTTGGCACATCTTGGCAGGTTGTATATTCTGAGTGGCAGATTTGACCATTACTGAGAGGCTGAGTTTCTCAAGATTGGGCAGAGGCTTCAATATCTTCCAGAGCTCCCCAGCATGGTCAAAGTAACAGTTAGATAGCTTCAAATCACAAATGGTAGTAAAGTTGGAAAGGCCCCTGAAAAACTTTGGATGAGGATGTACATTTCTCCAGTCAATGTCATGCATCTCAAGTTTTTTCACATTGGGAAGCAGGTACCCAGGCATCATGATGCAAAAAGAAAAGGTATGCACATATGGCTGTTTGGAATTTTCCCATAATTCAAGTGTTCCAAATCTTTGACCATACAGTTTATTGTGACCATTCATGAAAATATGTGCAAAATCACCTAGGGCTCTTGAGCTTCTCAGTGTCAAATCATTCTTCTTGATGTGCTTCCTTGCAGCATGGAACCAAGCACAACATACAAGACAGCATTTGGAAAGTTGCACAGGCTCATCCCAGAGATAGTCAGCAATGTGTTGTATGAGCTCCTGTGGGAACACTGGATATGTGTGACTATGCTCATGAATCATGATTAGCATGCTCACATGATAGAACAAGTTGGACATGATGAGGAGCATACCTTGCATATCTGGGTGGCTTGAACTTGAAGTACATATATGTACGATAATCTGTTGCCCCACCATACCAGGCCATGGATGGTTTGGCAGTGCTCAGACTGCTTATGTTGAACCATATAGGCGCCCACCGGGCTGCCGGGTTCCACGGGCCGGATCGCACTGCACATGCTAGATCCGCACTTACCGCATAGAGCAAGTCATGCGTGGGAATGGACTATACAGTAGTATTAGTCAGCGTCTCTCAGATGTATATAAGACCCACCAGTAGCGTAGCTCTCTCTCCAGTACTTCCACCACCGGAACTACTTGTGTGCCTCAAGCTTAACAGCAACACCTTCAAGCAGGTAAGTTAGAGCGCGGTCCACTTCGTGTGACCAAGTCTGCTCAACAGGTTATGAGCCCCGGTCGACGCCTGAGTACTGCGCCTTAACGGCTGCGACTCGGTGTGCACTGGCTTACCTGCGGCATCGCCCTCACGGGCTTGAAGCCAGGGGGAGACTATGCGCGGAAACGCTGCAGGTCTCAAGCGCGACTCACGTCGCTGCTAAACCCCATGAGGACACTGAGTCCATGTGTGTGGACAGCGCCTTTTGGCTGCAGTCCGTTGTGTGACAGAGCGCTGACGACGCCTTCGTCAAGCAGCTCTTCAATGTTTCCCCCGTTCAACACAACTCTCACACAATGTCCAACGCTCTCCTCAACATGGTCCCTGTCCTGGACGGCTCCAACTACGCCAAGTGGTCGGAGGCCATGAAGTCCTACCTCCAGAGCCAGGAAGTCTGGTTCATGATTGGACAGACTCTCGGTGAGCGCCCGACACTCGAGGAGGGCGGCAGGAACCGTCAGGAGGTCTTTGCATGGACCCAGGCGGACGAGAAGGCGCAAGGCATGATACGCCTGCGCCTCAGTCCTTCGGTCGTTCAAATCGTCAAAGACAACGACTCGGCGAAGGATCTCTGGGACATGCTGTTGACAATGTACAGCAAGCAGAACGCTGCAAACCTCTACGCGTCCTTCAGGACTGCGACGACTGTGCGCGTTCCTGCTGACCAGCACCCCGCTCCTTTCCTCGCCAAGATCATCGACGCTTGCGAGAAGCTCGAAGACAACGATCTCAAGCTCCCCGACGCGCTTCTGGCCATGATGGCCCTGAATGCTTTACCGTCGCGGTATGACAACATCGTGCAGGTCATGCTGCAAACGACGAACGTCAAGAAGCTCAAGATCTCGATGTCCGGCACACCGCCAATCTCGCCTTTGAGCAAGGCTCGGGCAAGAAGGCGTCTTCTTCGCACGACGCGAAGAAGATCTCGGCCGTCAAGCGAAAGCAAGGCGAGCCGAGCTTCCAGCAGCAGCAGCAGCGCCATGACGGCGGCAGCGGCAGCGGCGAGAAGGCCGACAAGGGCAAGGGCAAGCAGCGCGGTAAACGCAGCGGCAAGAAGACCCGTGCCCAGAAGGACGGCGGCGGCCACAGCAACGGCCACGACCACGCTCACATCGCCTCGCAGGCGTCTGTGGCTGGTCCCTCTACGTCCCACGTCATGGACATCGCGCCTTCGGGCAGCATAGTCCGCACCGTCGAAACGTGTGCGCCTGTGCAGAAGCGCCCTATGCGCAACTGCCAGCGATGGCTGCAACGCGCCCTCAAGTTGGCCGAAGAGGTCGACGTGTCTCCTACGGTTGAGCGCCTCAAAACGCTCACTCAAGTTGTCGACAACTCCGCACAGATCGAGGACTACCTCTCTGACACGGAGTCGCGTGCATCCAAGCGCGCTCGTCTCTCCGACGACGACAACGACATGGCCGAGAGGATCGACGAGGTGAATGCGGGTTACAACTCGTA